CCGTGTGCGAAATACGCATCAGTCGGAAAGCGCACGTTAAATCTCCAAAGTAAGTAAGTAAGTAAGTATTCTATCTCTCATTTAGGCGTTGAGGTGCCGGTGAAATACCGTGGCAAAGTAGGTCCCTTGAACCTATGCTAATCTCTCGAGTCGACTAAAATTGGAATCTGATGTTTACCATGGTTACCTGACTAATTGTATGCAATCATAACATGGTGATGTAGGGCATGGCGATGTACTATCTCAACCACCGTATACAGAGGCCCAGACTCGATGAACCAGTCGTTGTATACATAGAAAAGTGATGGTTGTGACGGAAAACAACATTAAGGTTAACTTCTATGAGTGAGTGAGTGAGTGAGTGAGTGAGTGAGTGAGTGAGTGAGTGAGTGAGTGAGTGAGTGAGTGAGTGAGTGAGTGAGTGAGTGAGTGAGTGAGTGAGCGAGTGAGTATGTGAGCGAGTGAGGTTATACGCCGCTTTTAGCAATATTCTAGCAATATGACGACGGGGGACACCAGAAATGGGCTTCACACATTGTACCCATGTCGGGAATCGAATCCTGGTCTTCGGCGTGACGAGCGAACGCTTTAACCACCAGGTTACCCGATCGCCCAACTTCTTTGAGAGGCATTAAGACGTTGGAGTACTAAGTGAGGATAAGATATATGGATGAAAAACTTCTTTATTACAGTTAGGAGCGACGTTTCGGGTAGGTTCTAACACCGTTATCAAGCAAGTGATGTACAGAGTATACCATATATCTTATCCTTATTTAACATTAAGGCTATCAGTCGCGTCATAACAAAAGACGTTAAAGGTGGTACCTGGGGCATTACTGTTACAACTGCCACATGGTATCTCAGTGGGCTAGCACTAAAACCGGCATTAATCCAGGCTAGTACAAGCACACACACACACACACACACACACACACACACACACGTACGTACGCGCGCGTGCGAGCATGCACGTCCCTGTGTAAGTGACGTCAACCCCATTAATCTTTTCTGTTTTTACGGCACAAGCATAGTTAAATAATAAGGACTAGTTCATCCGAGGTCGATAGATTTGCGTCCTTTGTGCCGTGACATTACTCGCTGATGTAGGTTCGAATCCTAAGTTGTGATCCTTGGCCAATTAGTACCATAGACTCATCCTCGCCATCTTCAAAGGCAGTAAACGTATACGTCGGACCTGCATCATTGCGGGGACTTTCCTCCCACTTTAAGCGGACACGTCAAAGCTGCGTTAAACCGAAACCATTCAGTCACACAGCCATCCAAAGTAAAAGATATAGCAACAAAAAACACTAAACCCTTTAATCAACCAAACAAACAGTAACAGAGAGCGTCAGACTTTTAGGTAATCTTGACAGGCGGAGAGAGAGAGAGAGAGAGAGAGAGAGAGAGAGAGAGAGAGAGAGAGAGAGAGAGAGAGAGAGAGTACCTTTTTAAAGGGTTTTTTAATTTATTTTTTACTTCTTTGGGTTTTTGTAGTTTATTAGATGCGGCGGCCTAGTAGGCAATGCCTAATGCCTTGAAATTCTGTAGGTTGTTTAGTGGGTTTAGAAGTGTTGCCAGAGACATTTGTTTGTTACAGTTTATTGTGGATTTGAGGGTTGTTCGGTGTTTTTGGTGGTGTGTGCAGTGTAATAGTGCGTGTTCAGGTGTTTCTATTTGGTTACTGTGAGGGCATTTACCTGTTTGGAGTTTTCTGATTCTGTGTTGGTGAGAGTTTAGTTTAGTGGGCCCTGTCTGTAATTTGATTATTGCCCTGTCGATATTTTTGGATTTATGAAGAACTTTTTTTTAGTGGCTTTTAGAGCACCTGTTTCAGTTTACAGTTTGATTTCTGATATTGGTTTTGCCCCTTTTGGAGGATTTTACTCTTAGTGATACTTTTAATCTCGTTTTAAAATATTGGTAGGTTGATGCTTATTTCTTCTAATTTTAGAAATGCTTCTTTAGCTGCTTTGTCGGCGTGTTCTTACCAAACACTCCGACGGGATCCATACGAATTCTATTTCTTTACCTAGATTGTGGAGCTTGTTGGAGCTTTTGAGTATCTGTTGAATTAACTTTGGTCGATTTTTTGTGTGTTTGTTTTTGTTAGCTTGGAGTCCACTTAGTGAGTTTGTAAGGATTAGGGTTTTTCGGTGTGTTTTTTTAATCTAGGGGTTATGTAGAGCTGTGGCTACCGAGTTAGTTCTTCACTGTACACACACTGTTAGTTCGGCCGTGAAAATTGATTGATTATTTGGAAGCCTTTAGCATTTAGTTTCTTTTGTGGGGTGGTATACATGGAGGCGGAATCCTGAGACGTATATCGGCGGGAGTATGTATATATTTGGTTGTAAAGGGGAGCTTATTATTGTCGGAAAGTGTCATTTTAATCAAATTGCCCAGTAGTATCGATAACAAAATCAACAAACTGCACAGACCTTCAGCATGAGACTAAACCCATTCAGCTGTTATGAGTAAATGGGCAAATCGCGAAAGCAACAAACATAGTAATTCCGCACAGCACGAGCGGTGTCTCCCGGTATAGGACCGGCGCCATGTTTGTTTCTGCGCGTGAAAGACCGGAACAGCCACCTGTCTAGGCAAACAAGTCATAAAACTGCCGTCACTGGCGACCCATAAACTGACATGTTTGTTTTGATTTTCGATGACGATACAGACAGACGCATAGATTGATATATATATATTATGCTGATAGTGTTTATCAAACATGTCAGGAATTACTGAACTGTTAAAACAGAAGTCGTATTCTTCACTTATAAAATGATGTTTCAACCAAAGAAAACATGTTCACGTCGTAAACATGTCATGGAAAATAATACTTTGGTGTTTAATGTTTTCTAACTTTTAAGTTTCTTGTCTAATGTTGATGAATCGTAACGTAACGCAAAACAAAAGTGACATTTAGAAGTTGATGTGATGAAAAAGGGGGATAATTCAATGAATATACAACTCCTTTATAGCAGTGCTTGATAAGGGTGTTTGTGTCTTCACCGAAACGTCGTATTCATTGTAATAACGAAGTTGCATATGGATAGAACTATCCCCTCGTTCGAGTAATACATTAAGAATTGCTGGTGTACAGTGTACAAGATTTAGCGAGCGCTTCTCGTTAATACTGTAACAGCACACTGTCGTATCCCTTGTGTCATGTCATGAGATAATGAATGATTACAATATGGGTGCCTTGGCATAAATAACTTTAATTGAAGTTACGTATGAAATATCTGAGTTATGTCAAAATTGATGAATATATTTCCCAAGTTGGAAAATTATCATTTTTTTATGTGATGCTTAAAATGATTATACAAGTGGGCTTACGGCACTGCTGCAGGAAAGCCGAAAAATGATACACCTTGTGTGAAAAAAAGAGTATAGAGAGAGATTAAAACGCAACGCATACAAGCACGCTCGCGTCTTACTATATCCTCGCAACGTGTCATTATTTAAAATATTGCCGATAGCTGGTATCATTTATTCCCCGCGACAGGACATGCCGGATATGTATAAGCCTTGGTATATCTTTCTAATTCAGTGAAGCTGTTAAGGCAATGTTGTCGTTTTTCAGTGAATGTTCTATTGGAAAATACTACACATTGAAAAGTCTTGAGCCACGCAGAAACGTCAAGACTGAAAGATGAAAAACACAAACCAGGTTTATTTTTTTTAACTATTAGACTAAACTCCCGCGCAAAAGAAAGTATACACTTGAAAATAGGATTAGACCAAACATTTAGAATCGTTATAAAAACGTTGCTGGGCTGAAACAGCCATCAAAACACTGTAAACGGAAAATCCAAAACATAACTATGATACCCGTATCAACATCGAATAACTTTTTTTGTTGCTTTCATTTTTAGACACCATCAAACATGAACGTATACTTTCTTTTGCCCGGCAGTGTATATTCAAAGATTCTGTGTGAAAGTTCTGTTCGGAATATATATTTACGCCCAAACTATTATCACTTTCTTAAGATGTACTTTATCACATCTTGTCTACGTTTTTTACATATACATAATTATTTATTGTAATATGCTCTTGTACAACCTTTTGTGGTTTTTGAGAATAAACTGATTCTGATTCTAACAACAACAAGCCAAGTTGTTTTAAAGGCAGTAAAGCATTATTACATAAAAGTGTGCACAATATCCAACCTTATCTGTGTTGCACGATATTCAATAAAATGCTTTCTACATACACATTAATGGATTTGTATTCTTTAGCCTAATAAGATAACATTCGTCAGCTAACAGGTCTGACGTTATTGTTTTGTCATCTCCACATCTGATTCAACAACATCCTCCTCTTCACGTAAATCTGTCTCATCACCAACACAGATAGAAATCGTTTGGCGGCATAAAATATTTACTCTTGAGAGTGGTACATACAAGTTAATGAACTTGTGTATGTGTGACTTAATTTGACAAATATTGACACCGGCATCGTGGAAAAGTATCTTTGAAGTTGGTAACACATTTTACTAATACCCGCCATCACACTAGTATACAAGGTGTGAGACAGCGAGTAAATATTAACTTTGACGACAAGGAGATGGGAACGTCTGCTCACTCATACCCAAACATCCGACCACGCCGCCTTTGATATTCACACCCTGGTTCATAACAATTAACCATTTCTATTCATCTCATAAGTAAAACCTACATGCCAAAAATACACTGACGATTGGACCAATTTCTTATTGTTCTTTCTTTCACACTTTTCACACATGAGAGTCAGTGACGCGAGACAGTAGCGAAACAATTGAAAACGCCCGGTAATTTGATTTAATACCTAATCCCAATCTTTCAACTCAAATGGTGCGCAACGGCGAGTAAAAACAGCCTCATTGTCCAGCAATGACAACTGGGCCCAACGGAATACGATTCTCACAGTTAATTGGTTGAGCGCGGCACGTGACCATGTCAATCAACGAGCCCTGCCCCCTGGGAAAGGGCTAAATCAGTGTTGCAACACGTGGGAAATATAAGCTTACAAACATTAGAGGGATTTGGATGGAGTCAGTGCGAGGGGAAACGTTGAGAGGGGATATAGTTACAAAACACTGGAACACACGGAAATATAAATGGATTTATACACTACTGTCAGGTAAGCAATTCACGTTCGCTTCCTTAACGTGTTTTATTCATCTATAATGTTTGTTTTGACCATGAGTGAAAACATTAGCATCAGCTGATGGGCACGTTAATGACCAAGTACTTTCTATACATATAAAATGAACTCCTTGGTCATGACAATCATGTTTAATGGAATATATGTAAATAGTCTACGTTAATAAAATAAATGTTATTATTCGCGACAGTAATGTTAATTACTGGATACTACAGTCCAACTGGAAGTGGAGATTATATACATGAACTCTATATACATATTTGCTACAGTCGAACGGTTTTCTGTATTTAACTAGTAGTGCGAATATTGTATATTAATATTTCCCACGTTATTAGACGGGTCAGAAAAAGGGCACTGTGTACCTATTTGTTCGTTCTATCTTAGTTGACATCAAAGAGTTGGTCACGAATGACCATCATCTGTCAAATGTCATTTACTTGTCAACGTGCAGAATCGAGCATGACACCTCGCACGGCCGAGACAGAATGCAATTGGAATAGAAATAGTTTTATATCCGTGTTGTTTTATTCATCAGTGTGTAAGCTTCTCAACGTTTGATGCGGATAGTCGAATATTTTTCTCGTGTCTAATATAATATCTTAAGTGTACCACTATTGAATGATGGTTTTCAGATACCTGTGCACCCTTCTGATTTGGATTATGTACACTACAGAAACGATGTCACAAAGTAAGTAATATGTTTTTATTTTGTCTATATATTTTTTGTGCGACTCGCCACAGGGAAAAGGAACATTAACCGTACGTTGAACTGCGTTCGTATGAAGCGTGACAACAGGGGACTTCTAGCCAACGCATCACAACACATATCTATGTATACCAGCGTCACCGATGGATAACGCTTTTGAAGCGTTGCCATGGGAATCAACGAATTCCTCGCCAACTGTTTCTTCCCATGGTACTGCGTTACGTTAACGTATAGTGTATTGTGAGGTGGAGGGATGGTTACAGCATCGCCGATAGCTATAGACTGGAGGTTGTTATGACGCAACCTCCCCTATTGGGGGACCAGTGATAATGATACCACACAGAGGGTTATGGTGGTGGGGAGAGCTCACGTATCAATATTATACCCACTGTGGGTCCTAATTACATAGGATTACAAGGGTGTGGGTTTGATGGGAGAACACCATCTTGTGCAGCATCCGACTGCCGCGTGTGGTCATGATGTTGGTTGGGATGGATAGACGGAAGTTGCATTATGCAAAAGGTATACCTAAACAGCCTTTTGGTTGTCACTAACAATAAACTGTGGAGGATAAAATTGAATATTTCATTTATAACATGTAGCAAGCGAGTATAAGCTTAACGCTGACACAATATTTGCCGTTTTATGCATCCACATCACAATTATTTCAAAATGCATCTTGCTCAAAAATCTGGGTATATAACCTCCCCTTACATCTCGGCTACGTACCACCAAGACCAATGAAATTTTCACTCGTAACATTGACTTCCGACATTTTCTCTTCAGCAGCTTCGTCGAACGGGTACCAGTAACAATTTTGATCAGTTCGTAGTAATACCATATTAGCTCAGCGGTAATAGCAGGTTTACTTTGGAATGTGGATGGTATCCATGTACCCACATGGTATTATGTCCCACGACCTAAGGATCAGACCATTGGTAATATACACAGCTTAACTTCATACTATATTAATCCCCATTATAGTATATAAAGATTGTTAACAATATTAAGTCCAGCTTCTAACGTAACACCGTCCCTTATTGCTTTAGCAGAAAACTCTGTAAGAAAACATGTCAGGCTCTGGTCAGCAGGTGCCTGTCAGACCTAAACTCCCCGAGTGACTAGCCGTTTTGTCGCCCTCCGCTGACACTGGCCACAGTCCGGTCCAGTACATTGTCCTCACGCCCTCGGGGTGTCTTAATTACGATTGACACTTATATATGCCTCTGACTCAAAATCAGATAAATTTCATTCCATTTAATCCGGCTCTGTCGTCAGTAACAGGTGCGTCTTCCTAGAGGGCCTATTTGTATAAGATCTGAGATGTGGTCCGTCCTGTTTAGCACTGTCCCCCGGCATGCACTGAGAACAATCTTGCGAACAATCTTTATTTAAATTTATGTAAGATTAAATTAACGTGGCAACAAATGTTATTTTACCAGACCCACCTATCCGTCCCGTGATTAGCATACATTTACGTTAAGTAAATAGTTTACCTGTACCACAGGCAGAAAAACGGGTATTACGTATTACGGTTAGCGAAATAAGGATCTTGACTAGATTACAAAACAAAACGTGTTGACTGAGTCTATAACTACAACTCACAACAATCCCTTTATGGGTCTACACATTCAACCACGTATACAATATTCTCGTATGAGTAAATGTGCATTAGTGAATCCAAAATGAAAGAAATGTTGTTCCCAATAGCTCTGGGTCGATAGGGTCCATCGTATCATGCTAGTCTTAGATATAGCGACAGCATCAGGTTGATGATAAATTTGATAAAGAATTACCCCATACGTCAGACACTAGACTATCATATAGTCCATGAAATCTTATATTATATCCCCTTTCTCTCCTAAACGTGTTCATTTCATATGTGGAATGGAGCCGGCTAAACATTTTCTTGGTTTTGGTCTTCTAAAATACACGTTTCCTGTGATGGAATCGGACAAATACTGCAATCGGAAGTGTGAAAGACACTGGCACTCTGTGATATACCTGCTTCTAAGGGAGTCTAGGTAGTATGTGGGATACATTAGCACCTACCGCTACTGTTACAACTCGCACTTCTGTTACTTCACTTATGACCTCAAAGAGAGTTTATTATCCGTGAACTCTCGCAGGTTCCTTGGTAGGTCAAACTGACCCCGTATGTAGGTAGAAGCGGCGCGTTACTTCCAGTTCACGGACAATGTAGCATCTTCGTCCCCCATTAGGTGCATCTGCAAGCGGCTTGTTTGAACCACTCGCACTCTGAGTAGGCGTATCGTTATTGAGACGAAGAAACGCGGCGGTTGTAAACAAGGCGAGGGTCGTTATCTTGGGTTTTATCGCCTGTCAATCTGACGTGTTATCATCGTTTCTGATGGATGCCCATCCATATTGGGGAGGGTAGAGTAGCTATCTATTTGCCTCGTTATAGCGCGCGAAGAATTTTGATTACTTTGAATAGCTGCCCGGGTCAAGCGGTTGGTGTTATAGCAGGGTATAAACTTTAACAATGCTTATCTGATTGAACACAAGACTACATCAAAGCGCACAGAGCGGATATTGTTTTATACGTTTTTTCAATTTCATTCCTTGGCATTTGTTCTTTGTCTTTCATAGAAAAATTGAGATAGGTGCTATAGATAAGATTCGCCGATCAAGATACATGGAGCATTGTCACACCTCAACACAAAATGCAGAAAAAACCACTTAACTTTTAAGGTTAGGTTTACCTTACTTCACGATTGTTGACGTTATAGCGTCAGCGCGAACCACGTCAGACACGTTGAGCAACGTCAAAAGAACCGGGCCAAAGAACGCATTCACCAATATTTGATGGGGGCTAAAAATTAAACAAAAGAAATGTTTTTTGATACGGGTATCACAGTTTTGTTTTGGACCGTGATTTTGCAGTGTTTCGTCGATTTTATTATCAGCCTGGTAACGTTTTGATAACGTTGGCAATTTTGGGGTCAAATCCAGTTTATACTTCTTTTGCCCGGCAGTGCATACGAGATGGTGGCTCTATCATCATACAAACGTCAACTGTATATGGTCTCTAGTGTTAAGGATTAAATTTGGGTCAAAGAAAGCATAACGTTACTTTATGGTAAAATATAAGGTGCATTAAAACTATCACTCTTATGCAAATATCTTATTTTTACAGTTTCGACACATTAACCCCTGTACTTCCCACAATACTTGAGCCCACCACATGCCCGGTACTATCAGTTACAATCACTGCTCGTGCTTTTAATTATCTGATAATAAAAACATTTGTCCCCAATTATTATGTTAAAATCCCCTGAGGTACCATCCTCCCCATCATTATGTTCCCCCTCAGCGTTTGAAGTTACCCGCTGTCTTGGAAGCTCGAACTAAGCATGAGAGCATCGCAATGCGCGATAAACGTAGTTCTAATTGACCCTTGTGTCCCGCGAGAAAGTTTATAGTGCCTGTTACCAGCGGGAACCAGGTCCGACGTATTGCGCTATCTGTAACGGACTACTGTCCATTTATCCCCGCATCCTCGGCCCTCCCATCTGGTCAAGGGGTTATGTTTGCATGCTGGGGCTGACGCTGCGAATGACCAGCAACAGCTGTAGATGTTGTAGTTGCAACTGTCACTGAAAATATGTCAGGGACGCCGTGCTTAATACGGTGAAGCCGTTTGAAGAATTGCAGGCATCATTGTAAACATATGGCGGGTACATGTTGAACCTGGACGATGATAACAGGCTTTTCATTTACAAGTCTTCGTATCCTGGGCCCCGTTTCACAAAACAATCTTTGCGCTACGATATCTGTAAGTATATGTAAAAGCATTGGAGTTACGATCGTCTTAGCACTACGAGTTTCGTAAGTTTATGTTAAAGTATGGGAGTTAGATCGTCTTAGCGCTACGATATTCGTAAGTATATGTAAAAGCATGTGAGTTACGATCGCCTTAGCACTACGAGTTTCGTAAGTTTATGTTAAAGTATGGGAGTTAGATCGTCTTAGCGCTACGATATTCGTAAGTATTTGTTAAAGTATCGGAGTTACGATCGTCTTAGCACTACGAGTTTCGCAAGTTTATGTTTAAGTATGGGAGTTAGATCGTCTTAGCACTACGAGTTTCGTAAGTTTATGTAAAAGCATGGGAGTGACGATCGTCTTAGCGTTACAGTATGGGGGTTATGGTAGTTCTACGATTGTCTTAAGTCCTTGTTAAAGTATGGGAGTAATGGTCTTCTAAGTGCTACGATTGTCGATTGTCGTAAGTTAAAGTATAGTAGTTATGATCGTCTTAGTGCTAAGGTCGCTTTGTTGAACGGGACCCAGGTAAGTCTCAAATCAGATTAAAATCATTTATCGGTTTAACAAGCTCACAATTAGAGAGAATTCGTAAAGCAACGATTTCAACTTGATTTTCGGCAAAGATATCTAAATGAGAAAACTCATTCGTTTTGAAGTCAATGAATTAATGCGACTATATACAAGTAGTACTATTAAACAGGTTCTAGTTTCTAGTTAACAATGATAGGAGAACACAACATCAATCAGACATTTCCTTGAACACGAGAAGTCGATTGCGCAGCTTCTTACACTTTTGCTCCATGCTGCACCAAACCCATCCCACTCCCACAAGAACAAAGATATATATCCGGTCGTTGAACCTGACCTTGTGGTTGTGGACACAGCATGAAAACAAGCGTAGGTATAGTAAATAGTGACTGCTGCACGCTGTTAATAGCGTACTTATCAGAGATACCTCAAAACTGAGGGTACAGTGACCCTTAAGCACAGAGTTCATTCCGTTACTGTCTTATCAGTGTTTGTGCGACTTGGTAAACACCAGAATCGTGCTAATTGTTCCGTGATTATCCTATAAAGGTTACGTTCTTATGGTGTACTGCCATGGTGAAAGAAGTCGGTGTTTTGACGTCAACGCGACTCAGCGCGACGTGAACGTTAACAAGTCCTAAACGTGTACTGCGACCTAAGATAAAAACACGTTCACAGAAAGTGTCAGTTGTCTTATGGATTTCGGTTTCTACAGTCAGTGCTACGTGATCACTCGATAAAGGTATTAGCCCCCGTAACAAATCCTCCAACTCCAGTTGTCTTCCATAGAGGAATCTTCAAATCAGTTAGAATAATAATAAATCGTTTTCAGCTTGTTGCGCGAACCCATAACAGGGCATATGTTTCACATTAAACGAAGTGGTCTCTCCAAGCCTTCCGTCTAACCTCCCCACCTCCCCAGCAAGCCAGTGGTCATAAACGTCCATTCACGAGTACCTCAAACGAGGGCGACGTCATGCGCCGCCAGCCGGGAGGACATGATTTATTTAGGCTTGATAGTTTTGCACTGAATCTCTCCTTGAACCCAGTCATGATAAAGTAGAGCAATTTACCTTTGGTAAAGGCATAATTGCACATGATGCATGTAAGTAGTAGAATTTTCTTTGAACTTTACGACTTTTCAAAGCGCATTTTGCACTCTTAAGAATGTGCCATGTATACATAGCACCAACAGCTGGATGGTCATTTCCTGTTTCTGCAGAGTTTAACGGTATAGCAATAGGCATGGTAGATGCAGTGCATGACACGCCTTTTACGTTATACATACATACCACATCGCGTAATGGGTAATAATCAGGGCTACACGCATTGGGGACTGCATGTCACATTTGGTAGGGCTATATAACCATACATTAAGATTGCATTCGATACGTTGAGTCCGCAAATATATACGTGGGCTGTATAAATGCAATGCTGGGAAAACTCATTAATATCGCAGAAATCCGTTCGGATCTATGCCTCAGTAGGGTGTTACGTCTTCGATATCGTTACATACACTTGATTTGGCCGGAAATTTACGAACGTTATCGAAACGTTACTAGGCCGAAAACACTCGTTGAAACACTGCATATGTAAGGTCCAAAACATCAGGGCGCGGTCGGGTAGCCCAGTGGTTAAAACATTCGCTCGTCACGTCGAAGACCCGGGTTCGATTCCCGACATGTGTACAATGTGTGAGGCCTATTTCTGGTGTCCCCCGCCGTGATATTGCTGGAATATCGCTTAAAGCGGCGTAAAACCAAACTCACCATCGAATAACCCTTACTCGTTTGTTTCATTTTTAGCCAGCATCAAACCTGGGTGTATACTTTCTTTAGCGCTGCAGGTTACGTATAAGACGATATAACCTCATGGTCTATATCGACACCATCCTTATCTCGAAGTACGAAACACTAAAATTATCTTCCATGGTCTCGAGTACGGTTTTGCCGTGTATGCAATGAACCATAGTGAGTGAGTGAGTTGGGTTTAACGCCGCTATTAACAGTATTCCGCCGATAATCGCGGCGTCAATGAACCATAAACCAGAATAACCCATAAAACGTTAATTTCGGATTAATAAAAATCTGACGTAGACACTCCGTGCTATGTATGGGTGATAGTCATGTCACTTTGTAGAACTGCGTCCGTGGGGTAGCCTTGTGGATAAAGCGTTCGCTCGCCACGCCAAAGACCAGGGTTCGATTCCCCACATGGGTACAATGCCTGAACCCCCATATGGTGTCCCCTGCCGTGATATTGCTGGAATATTGCTCAATGCGGCGTAAAACCATCACTCACGCACTCTGTGGAACCAGGACACTGAAAGACATTGAAACATAATCCTGAGGATGGTGGATAGTTGACAGTCTGGAGTTTTTGCAACACCTGCCGTCGAGCGTGTATTCATAAACCTGTCCAAGTACTTGCAATTTTCAGAAAAAATAACCACCCCAGATCAAACTGATACGAAATCAATCACACGGAACGGATACATATCTCCAGTGACGCAGAAACCCAATATTAACGTACGTCAACTATGGACGTCAGTCCTACACTGGGTGATAAATGAACACCAGCAAGCATTGTCCGAGGAAGCGATGTCCGGCGGCATGACATATAGGTAAATTGTAGGCCTGCTCGGACACCCTATACTTGGTATTCATATCATGTCCACGGTCAGTATCCCTGACCTCGCTGACCGGGGTCACGGGAGATAACCCCGTGTCGGATAGCGCTGTGGAAGGTTCTGTGTGTCAGGCTGTTTGTTATGGTAGTCCACGGAACGCTCTTTGTTTATTTACACTTGTGAATATCCCACATTTTACTGTTCTGGTGACTAATATTTAGCTTAAAGTCGCAGGTCATGTTTATGTGGTGTGAAAGTGTACATGCCTTTCCACATTGAACGTAAATAGTATCCATATTGAACGTAAATAGTATCCATATTGAACGTAAATAGTATGTGTGACCTATTCTCACGACCCTAATCTGACGATGACGTCAATATATTTTCTTTAAATTATTCTCGGCTTCATCTGAACCATTTCAAAGAAGATGTACGGCTAAAATGGAGTCAGCGTTATATGCAGCGATAGGGAGTCTGGGTTCTAATCCACAAGAGCACCCTAACAAGTGAACCATATCTTCGGCATTTTACCACTAATTTAGTCGAAAAAAAGAGGGTAGGAAATACCAAGAAACATCTTTTCAAAAGCCACCAAAATGTGACAGATGTAACACATGACTGCATGTATATATTCTATATTGTTTGGACCAGACAAACCAACTTTTAGGGAAGATCAACGTCGCAGGACGAAACACAATGCACTCATTCATGACACCTGTTAATAATCTTTCCTTAATTAGTTAGTTCTGCTCGTTTATGCCGAACGGATAGATGAATTTTAATCACGACTTACCAGTTCGGGAAAAGTTACGATTACAAGTGCTTTTATACTACAAGTGGCTCAAGCCAGTAAAAGTCGATGCCATATCCCTCTTTACGGTTCTTACCACTCAAACTTCAAGTAGTTCTGCCGAGAGAAGAAAGTTACACTAATGATGCTAATTGTTCGTCGCCACTAACGGGCGGTACTCTCGAAGCCCAAACCCTTTCTCATTAATCCCCGCACGCCAGTTAAAGGATTAACTCGGATCACAAGGTTACGGGTTTAACGCTCAATCTGTTGTGAGGTTAATCCGTTAACACGCCGCTCTGATTGTTTGAGCCAAGTGGTTGTCCAGGTGAAGGGAGAAATGAAAGAGATGCGATAACGAGGCTACTAAAAGCCAGGTAGATACCAACGATAGCATCTCCTTGCTAAGTGAATGAAATTGTGCGAAATATCTTCTTGAGAGATATATTACATGGATTTAGTCTCGGGAAGATCGTAAATGATAAAGTTTTGCAAATATTCCAGTGGTTACTAAGGTTGAGAGGGCAATTCGCGAGTCTGCCGTGAACAGATTGGCGCCATCTTCTCGTCACATGTCAGTCACGAGGCAACGCTGTCAAATATTGTCTCCACATGACTGTATGTCTTCTTGATGTATGGCCTGATAACAACGTGTATGTATTGGTGGTGTTTCGCGTTTATTAAACTGTCTGTACCGTCTATCAATGGTAACATGCAAAGACACGCTACAGTAGATTCACCCCAACTATGTTAATGACACACACTTGTAGCTTGTGCTGAACTGATTAAACAATAGTTTTTGTTATTTACAGACTCCCCAAGATGGTTAAAAAGCATCATACATTCCAGTACAAGAAACAAGCGATTCAGCTTCGGTTACAAAGCAGGTAAGCCAGAAACGCGAGAGGGAGCGGTTTAGCAATACTTGAGTCATCACAGCCTGTTTGTATGAGTGATGCGTGTTGGCGTACCCTGGTACACCTGAGGGACTTCATTTGATGAAGAAGAAGAAGAAGAAGAAGAAGAATATTTCATTATAGTGTCACCCGCTGTACATATAAAATGACAAGGCAAGAATGTAAAAATTCAGCGGCCGGCCAAAATGGCATACGAGACACTAAAAGACTCATAAAAAACAATATTTTATATATGTACACTTCACATTTAATAGTAATTATGAAAATAATATTCATAATATTATCCCCCATACAAACATCCTATATACACACAACCACATCCATTCCCACATCCAGGCCTTCACTCACAGCAGCTTACGCAAACCACGCAAACACACCCGCACATTCAGACACATCCAAACCCTCATTGACATCACTTCAATCACATCCGAACCCTCGCTCGAACCCTCACCGTCACACATTACCCTCACACACACCCTATTTCATAAACACACCCTCACCTGTATCCATCCATTTGATGCACATGGAATAGAACATCGCCATGTTCAAAATCTTAGACAAAATTCAATGGTTATACCCACAAGAGGTACCACAGTAGCCACTTGTTTCTTTTAAGCTGTTTAATTGTTTTTAACATTCGTAGCATCACAAGTAACAACCTTAAGGTTGAACCACTCGTTAGCTAACTTTCATCACTTGAGTGTGATCAGTTAAGATAAAGACGATCGTGTAGAGGGTAAACCGGGGTGTTAGAACTGATACGGTGTGCTCGGATGAAGGATGCTCTACAATTACCCACCAACCCCCACCGGCCTAACATCTGTAATTCAGCGGTATGTTGCAATGCCCCCACTCCGATAATGAACTGCACTCGGGGGAGTCAAAGGCAAGCATGTTTGTACGGAGATTTCTTATCTCTGTTTTTATTCCTTTAAAAGCTTTTGATGAGGTAATGAATGGTTCAGAGTTGGTTCAGCGATCTTACTGATACGTGCAAATGTTTGTAAGGCGAGCTTTGTGGCCATTTCGACCCTTAGTTGACTCAAGGTTTATGGTCAAGGTGCTATAAGAATGAAACAAGGCTTGTAATCTGGAATCAACGAAGACACCCGACATTGCAAGTACACATGATAAATGTACCTCAACTGAAGAAGCGTCCAACTCGACAGCTTGGTGATTTCCACTACAGAGCTAGACGCTGCAACTAGAACCTACACTCACATAGTCCCCGAAGGCTGCTAGAGCTGACAAGGGGTTGAGTAATGGTTGCTGGAGCTGAAAAGGGGTTGAGTATAGGCTGCTAGAGCTGAAAAGGGGTTGAGTATAGGCTGCTGGAGCTGAAAAGGGGTTGAGTATAGGCTGCTAGAGCTGAAAAGGGGTTGAGTATAGGCTGCTAGCGCTGAAAAGGGGTTGAGTAGTGGTTGCTGGAGCTGAAAAGGGGTTGAGTAAAGGCTGCGAGAGTTGGGGGTGTATGAGAATGGTATGGGGTATAAGTATATGCTTAAGTATGAGACAAGTAGAACATCGCGTGAATTTAGACGTTGTCTTGATGTAATATTTTATTATTGTTGATGAACTGATCCAGATTGCTGGTACTTCAAAGTGGCATAAACCTTAAGATTCACCATGTTTACAATGACAATACGGATTCTTAGTTTAACCCATTCCCGCCCGTAATACAGTCCGTTCCATATTGCGATGGCCCATGTCTTTTGAAGATGCCTTAAAAGATGCAAAATGCACAACCGTTCTGCCTCAACAGCTAGCTTCAAGATGTACCGCCGACATGCTTCAAGCGTTATTGCATAAACGTAATGGCTCACATATTTACTCAATAGATTTACTTATACGTGTGGTATATAGCCGTTACATCACGACCCTGTGTCGTATACTGCCGTTAACGGCCATATATCGAGATGGCAAATGTAAGCACCAATCACCCGCCAACGTTATTTAACATCCTTGAAAGTTTATTCCCCTGAGAGCCATCAAGGGCAACCGTGGAGTATATTACGACCCTAGTAACCTAGCAATTCACATCAGTAAAGGAGATTACGTTCCTGACCAAAACAACCCAGGTACCCTAATTGCAATTAGGACCCCGACTGACGCCATTCCTTCCTGTCCCCAACCCTCATAGTTACCTTGACCCCTACTCGGATGCCCTCGGGCGTTTCCGTAAGCTATTGTAAATAGGCATACATTAATCGCTACCCCTATTGTCGCCGTTGCTGCGTGTGGATGAAAACGGTGTTTGATAATACTAAATTGTGGCTATCTGTTCCATTTAATCTTAAAGGAGTGTACTTGAGGTTTAATAAAGGCGCGCGAGAAATTTAAGACCGGTCATGGACTATTGTTCGTTGATAAATGGTTACTGGTCATTTCTTTACTCAGCTAAGAGTGAAAGTTAATCATTTTAAGGAATGTGCATTGTCCCCGACAGTGTCGGGTAGTTTCAGTTTGTGTGAGGCTTTTTGTGTTTACATCAGATGTTTCTTTCCCTCAGAAACCCAATCACCAGAGAGGTATCTGAAAGAATGCTGTAAGAACAACGGCGTGTGCATCCTTGGGAGCTTCTGCCAATGTAAAAAGTAAGTTGACATGTGTGATATCTACTGTTTTTTACCACACATAGAAATGTTTTCTGAATGTGAGGTAACTTAAGAAATGAATAATTTGAATAAATATACTACTCCACAATTTTAGGAATATGATGAACAAAACTGATTCTCATAATATGTTATGTATAAATTTATAAAATTTCAAAAGTTTAGTAATGGAATATGGAATTATGACTAGATATAAAAAGAAAAAAGTGACACAATCCAATGTTTTTATGATTGGGTAGATTTAGGATGATTATTGATCAAAGATCTATTTTGTCCAAAGTGTCATTTGTTCCGATGGTATTGTTTCAGAGAGTTTTACGGGCGGTACTGTGAATATGAAGTAAGGCGGAGTTGGTGCGGCCCGGTCCGCCATGGGCAGTGGTTCCGGTCCGACTGCAGTCTCTGTCGCTGCGTCCAGGGACAGTCCATCTGTTTGGAGGGAGCCTACGGGAAGTGCTGTAAGTCATCAACCCGTGATACCGACCACTCGTACAATGCCAAGTATCGATACTTCCCTTGTACGACCCCAAGTATTGAACATCACAAACTTCCGGTCCTTACCACAACTATGAACCCGTATCAAATACAGCACCATCAAATAACCATTTTTGTTTAAGTCTACGCTTTAGCATTTAGAAGTGATACACATAAGGAAGAGAATTTATGGTTGTCAACTTCTTTATTATGAGGAACACAACGTTTCGGAGGATATGCTTACTCCTTCATCACCTGATAATAAAGAAGTTGACATCCAAGAATTCTCGTCCTCATTTCTTGTTTCATTTTTAGCCACGATCAAACATTGCCGGCAGTTCACAATGATCCGAGAAAAGGAACCCTTCTTTCACACTTCCCAGAACAAAGAAATACTTCTCTTTACACCTCCCAGAACATAGAAATACTTTTTTCTTTATGTTCATAGTGACCCAATTAAATGCGACCCTGACTTCGTTGCCATCATGTAACATTTTCCTTTGTATAGCCATTTCGTTTTTGAAATTACTGCAAAAAGATAGACTTCCGTTAAGTGTAAATAAAAATGACAACCCTTTCAAAACCATAAGACATGTCTGCTAAAGTCATGGTAATGCATTGACATATTTGGCTTTCAGCTGAGAAAATATCCAGGAAGGGTTACAAGCCAGAAGACCCCTCCAACATTGTGAAGATCTTCCGTCTAGAGGAGGGGGAGGACTACCTGGAGAACAGCTGGGCAGACGACACTAGCATCGCGTCATCAGTGGACAGACGACATCCTCAACTCACGTTCCTGGCCCTCGTGACTCTCATCATCGGCATCGGGGTCGTCTGAAACTCCACCACGTCGTCAAGGTTTAGTACAAGGAGCCTCCCATTGGCTCAAAGTGTTGGGGTTGTGGTGACCCGACTTCCGCAGTGTTTCAAGGACACTAGCTCCAACGTGGTCCACACCTGCCGAAACAGCCCGTGGAAATCGTGGAAACCTTGTTCCATCGAGTTGTCGTGTTCGTGACGACATTGGTAAACGCACCATGGTAACACATTTGAAGCGTTGGCTGCCAAGCTTGGTCATAAAGGTGTAGCTTTTACCGACCTCCAAAAACATGGACCTTCCGACATAACAGAAATCGGAGACGTCCAAGAATAAGCAAAGGAATGCTTGCAAATGAACATTCCGCGACGGCCCAGTGATTTCTCAATGATCTCATTATAGGAAGCACAAACAGCATGACAGGAGAGATGCAGGTTCCAGGAACCGCCCCAGACATCATGCGAACTGCCCCTCCCCCAGCCTCCCGTGGCTATACATGTGATACAGATACTGATGAATCCACGCTTGTTTATTTATTCCTGTATTCCTGTATTCCTGACTCCAGTATTCCGAATTTAATTATTGACCATGGTCTTCCGACATGAATGGAAAATGTTTATGGAGTACAGTTTGGAATTTCAACAGCCTGAGTTCATCAATGACAGACTAAGTGCATGTACAGAGAATATTTTCATATTTATTATATTTATACAACATATCTAGTACCCTCATGTGCCAACTTCCAGAAACGATAGATATACCTTAATGTGATTGGTGGGATTTCAAATGTCTGACTTCTGATTGGTCGAGACACCCTCTGCATTCATGTGCTAATATGTAGTAGTGTAGTTATGTGTCTCGTGTTTTTCTTTCATCTTATTTGCTAGTCCTTGTCAGTTCTTCCAATTCAAATCAAATCAAGCATAGTCACGTAAATATATGATTCGCAAAGCTATGGATTTTTTTCAGCTGTACTAATACGATGCAGATAAATATGGGTACCATGAATTTACACATTAAAGTTTATATTTTATTAATAAAACAATTCATAAAATTTTAATTTTTATGTTTTTGTGATCAAAACTGACTGAACCTAGTAAACACACAGACCGGGTAGTTGAACAATAAACCAGTAATCATCTTGAACTCGCTGAAGATTCAACGCTTTTTGGTTCGTCGAGAAAGAAGACTACTGGAATGATTTTCTTCGCCCCTTTCACTCAGTGAAAGCTCGAAGGCGGTATTTATTTGGGCAATATGACGGCGGTCTGTAAATAAACGGATCAAGACCAGAAAAATCTAATGATCGATATCATGAGCATCGATCTACTCAATTTATTGGGATTCGATGACGTGCTTCAACCAAATCAGCGAGCCTGATCACCCGATCCCGTTTGTCGCCTGTTACAAGCATGGGTTACTGAAGACCGGATCTACATGGGTCTTGTCAGTATTAGGCATAACATGACCCAGACTGCTGCAATTGTCCAGGTTGCCGCGCAAGCGCAATGTACAACTCACCACACGTCACACTGCCAATGCAGTATGCATCTTTCGTACAATTCAAGATCATAACCGACCAGCCACCAAATGGAACAGTTTCACTGATATGTCCGGGTAAATATTCATTATTGGGTGTCCTCCAGACAACATATGCTCCGTCAGGTGCATGTAGGATGAATTTGCACCCCAATCTCTAGGCTCGAAAACCTTTTCATTTTCTTTTCACAATTTTGCGCTGGTTGGAATATAATTGGTTGTATAAATAGAAAATAAATTTCGTGTGGCGTTGGCAAAGTTAAAAGGTAGTGCACATCGTCTCAAATTAGAAACGGGTAGATCTACACGTGGGCATACCAAAAGAAACTTTATGTGAAATGTGTTCCTATGAATATATATATAAGGTGGATATCATCTGATATTGATTTTGTGTAGTGCAAATCAGTTCTTGCGTCAAATGTGTGTTCTCAAAAAGTATTACATTGATCTTAGATTTCATAAATTGAACATAATGTATGTGAACAAGTCGGATATTATAAACAAACTATGGGAAAGTTTATTTTTTATAGTTTAAAAGTGTAAAAAAAGAGTAAAAAATGCCTGCAGTGCTGTGGCAACATGTAATGGACCGATGACCTTGGTAAATAAGATGTCTTGCCTTAGGCACCAGAAGGGATACCACCGTCGGTCTTCGGAACCTTGGAAGACCACCCCAAGACGAATTTATTCTTTATCAATCTACTGCTAGTCTACATTACTCATGCCCATTCACGCCACCTCGGCTTCTGCCAGTCTACATCTGGTTAAGGCTAATATAATTCAAGTTAACAACGGTAGAAGGATCTATACCGAAACGTCGCCTTTACAGCTTTAAAGAATTTGTTATCCATACGTTGTGCCTAATATGTCACCCGTCAACTAATGCCTATCAAACAATTCGCACGAGGGGTGGCTGAAACGATCTGATGTATAGTGCACCCTTAACAGTTGGCATGTATTGAGTACAATACGTCCCTTGATTAAATCCTGCATTTGAACCATATACACAGCCAGGCCAGTTCTTTTCTGCAGACATCAAAGTGATAAGGTATACTCTGTTCAGAGTTCAGAAGGTGAAGGGAGAGCCTCCAAGATCCCATCCTCCCGAGGCAAGAGAGTTAACTGACTTTATAAGTTCAGTTTTCACTGGACTTTTAAAGTCAGTTAACTCTCCTGCCTCGGGAAGATGCCAAGGTCCAAGATCAAGAAGACCTTCAACTGCCCTCACAGAGGAAAATGTTGATAAAATACTGGTACATACTATGATTACGGATGATTGACGACTCACCACACGACACACTGCCAATGCAGTAGGCATCTCTCGTTAAGAGCATTATGAGGAATAACAAAGGTGTTCGCATCCATTCTAAGACTACGGAATTTACGTCCTTTTGAAGTACAGTCAATTCTGTTGGGCGATTTGTATCAATGGATGGGTCTTGGGTTCACCACTATCAGCCGTGGACAAAACAACAGCCAAAGCAGCAGAAAGGTAAGGGCGCTACAAAAGTCTCCTCCGACGAAGAAGGCAAAGTCTGTTCCATCAACTGACAAGGCTTCGGTCTTCTGATATTCCAAAGGTATCCTAGTTGCGGACTACCTCCCGAAAGGTCAGATCATTTTTAGCCAACATTATGCTAATCTGCGTGAGCATATCAAATCTAAATGTCGTGGAAAACTAAAGGTGTGTTCCACCAGGTCAATGCACTTGTCATAACTGTTGCTTTGAAATTGTTGAACATCCTCCGTATTCACCAGATTTGGCTCCGTCAGATTTCCACCTCTTTACAACTTGGAGAGTTACTGTCTGACAAGCATTATGCAAATGATGGGGTCATTTCTGGAGGAAGCCTTCTTCACCAGCGGGATCCAGGTACCAGTCCCGACTAATACCGGTTTTATATATAGTGCTAGTCCACTGAGATACCATTCCAGAGTTGAACATGTTTATCCCATTCACATGAAAAGGTATACCGAATCTAATCCACCAGTCCTTGTTTTATCCCCTACAATGTTTTAGCCCTTTGGTATGACAGGGACGACGATTGAACAGCTCACTGGGCAGACGCCCTATCCACTTGACCACGAGGTCCTGAAGTAATGTTGTTCAAATGTTGAATGTCGTAGTGTGGCAGATTGTAGTACTACCACACTTTGAGACAGCATTGTTGGCTGCTCTCACCAGTGATGGCACTGGGCAAGTAATGTACTATCTGACCATGGTAATTGTGCCTATCAATCATCACGTCCAAGATTACTGCACTTACACAGTGGTCTTCAAAGACCAACAGTGGCATCCCTTCCGGTGACCTCTTCGGGAAGATAATTTACCAGTTTGGTATCGGTTTTCACCATCATTCTATTCACCAAGTGTAGGCCATCGACCCATTGCATGTTGCCACAGAGCTGCAGCCAATTTTTTACATTTCTTTCCACAAACAATAAGCGTAAAAAATAATCATTCCCATATTTTTTATAATATCCAACTTGTTCACAGCCCTATGAGTTACAATACGTGGTTTCACATGGATACCCACTCAGACACAGAAAACACAGTCTCCGAGCCGACCAGTCATTGATTCAGACCCTCAATGCCGAGTGCCAGGCAGGGTAACAACAAGTGCCATCTTTAATGTATGGTGCGGCCGGAATCGAACACTGCAAGAGGGATGCAATACACGAATGCCCAGAATTCAGAAAATAACAGCAATCTGCATATCTTTGCAGCAGATAGTGAATGAGTGTGTGAGTTGGGTTTAACACTGCTTTGAACAGTGTTATATCACAGCGTTGCAGCTTAATGTGTGAGTAAAGTCCGAAGTGATGCAGGTCTCAGACGTTTACCACTTTGGTGAAACCCACTAGCACGGGTATGGTGCTGACCAACCTAGAAACATAATCAGGGCGAACCGGTATTCGAACCCACAATCATAGGTTTCTGGCGTGCCCAAGGGACGCAATTCTGCACAGGGAATCGCGACGACTTGGTCACCCGTGCCCCCTGCAGAAGATAGACTTGAATAGTCATCCCATTTTGGGAAACAAATACAAACCACATTTACTTTTCATTGTCTTTATTATCAGCATACCAGTACCATGACCTGAATTACCTCACAACACACATCTCAGAGCAAACAATAGGAGTTATCTCCCTTTACACCACTACACATTCAAACTTACAGTGCTCAATTCAACAAATAATCGTCTACCACAACCGTCTAAGAATATAAATGTGAGATAAAGAGATTATACATGGGAGACTAAGCATCTGTGGTTGTCCCGAAGAGAGCTTCATGATCTATTCCCTCTGTAATGGAAGCTCTCTGCCTGTGTGTCTGTTTAAGGAGGCATTGTCAGTTGTTACTGACCCTGACAATACCACTCAACTTTTCATAGTGATATTCCTGTTAATATACCACACACCAAACTAATAACTTATAGTATGGAACAGTGCACGAGTGAGAGAGAAAGTGAGTTGGTTTGATGTAACTTTTAGCAATATTCAGGCAATATCAGTCAGGAACCACATAAACGGTCTAAATAAGTTGGGAATAAAACCCAGATCTTGGCTGTGACGAGTGCACCACTAGGCTATGCCACCATATACACCTCACTATAGAAGACGGCCCCAAATGGTTTCCATGTCAGTAATGAAAGTTGAATAATATTGATAATTAAACAGTAGACAAAAGTTGTTTTAATGAACCAAGGCCTCTCAGATTAGATACAGGCTTGAATATATAACAAGCCGTGCAACTTCTGACCATGTTGTTATTTCAAAGAAGAATCACAAACCTGTTGGCGTTCTGACTAATTGATATCAGCATATGTCACAGGCCAAAAAAAAAAAGAATTATAACATTAATTCATTCAAAAACATCAACCACAAGTTTGGCATAGTGGAAATTTGATCATCTTTATAACGACTGCCTATTTAAGGCACAACCAACCAGTTGTCAGTATTTTCACTTCACATACTTAACAAATATTATTGTACAATCAAGCTCGATTTTACACTTGGAATTTAATAACAAGATTATCATGCCTCTGGCATGAATGTTCAACAACATTTGAAGTCTGATTCAAGAAAACGATCTTTAAGCTCTATCATAAGCCTATATACCAGCAATAAGTATTTGTTCTAGTCAGCTATAAGACAGCTATCTGTGTTTGTTTGTTTGTTGTTTAACGCCACACTCAGCAACATTACAGCTATATGGTGGCGGTCTGTAAACAATTGAGACCAGACAATCCAGTGATTGACATCATGAGCATTGATCCACGCAATAGGGATACGATGACATGCATAAACCAAGTCAGCGAGTCTGACCACCCAATTCCGTAAGTGAAATATTTAGTCTGGACCACACAATTGGGATGTGATAACATGCAAACAACCAAGTAACCAAGTCTGGACCACACAATCCACTTAGTCGCCTCTCAGACAAGCACAGGTTGTTGAGGACCTATATTCATTCCAACACCCCACAGAGCCTGAGTGAGTGAGTTGGGTTTAATGCGCCTTTGAAAAGTGTGTCAGTCATATCATGTTATCTCAGCTCATATCATGTCATCTCAGGAGTAGTGAGTGAGTGAGTGAGTATGGTTTTACGCCGCTTTTAGCAATATTCCAGCAATATAACGGCGGGGGACACCAGAAATGGGCTTCACACATTGTACCCACGTCGGGAATCGAACCCAGGTCTTCGGCGTGCTACCCGACCGCCCCCATCTCAGGAGTAACACACAAGAGATGCAACACCTTGATGTCTACCCACAAGCACAGGCATGGTGCTGACAACTGAGTGAGTGAGTTTGTTTTACGCCGCTTTTAGCAATATTCCAGCAATATCATGGTGTGGGACACCAGAAATGAGCTTCACGCATTGTACCCATGCTGGGAATTGAACCTGGATCTTCAGCGCATGGTGCTGACAAACCATGGACCATAATCAGCGCAAATATGGAATTAAAGCTCATGAGCATAGCATCCTGGCACATATAGGGGATGCAACTGCAGATTCTCGAACACAGCCAACCGTGCCCACGTAAACCTTCAGCATACTGTAACCATGGTAACTCAAATATTACTTGAATGGTCAGCAAACTGCAGCTAGCAGTGGGACAGACAGCAACTTGCAGAAAGACCACGGACCATATAAATATCTACAGATCAATTTGTGAGTGTGCGCTAACAGTAACACGGGGCATCGCTGGGGTACAGATCATCACACACGTCATATACACAGGGAGTTGTGATAGGCCACGACTATCTAAGCTTGTGTTCTCGCTCTGATTCACAATCTCACCTCTGACAGAGTACCACACAACACAGGCTACACAAGTAGAACACTAATACTGATATGACAAACTCAACCTCAAAGTCACATAAAAAAAAACAGAAACAAACATCATTGACGTTAAATAAAAGCCTAAGTAACAAGTTGCAAAACAATAATGATTAGTTATTTCTGTGAGGAACAGCTTCACGTACAACACGTGACCAGCCGCTGCCCCAAGACACAAGTAGGAAATGTACGTTGTGGAATATCCTCACACATTAATGTCCTGAGCTAATCCTGAGTAGTATGCTAACTTAAACCCTGACTTCAATATGGTCATGAAGATCATTCACATAATATTTTAGATATTTTAATTTTTTTTGCCAGTATTTGCCATTTATCAGTCTAAGACTTTTCTGAAAGGTTAACTTATTTTAAGTTATAACTTTAAAGGTGCAAGATCAGTGGGTGAGTGAGTTAGTATTGTTTTACGCCGCTTTTAGCAATATTCGAGCGATATCACGGTGGGGGACACCAGACATGGGGTTCACACATTGTACCCATGTCGGGATTCGAACCCGGGTCTTCGGCATGACGAGCGAACGCTATAACCACTAGGCTACCCGACCGCCCCAGGTGCAAGATCAGATTGGTCATCTTCTTAATCTTAGCGTTACCGGAATTTAACACAGGGTAAAACTAGACATGTCAACAGATTCATTGTGAAAACAACAAAAGATGCCATGTCTACAAGCCATAAAACTGACCCAAGGCAAAGACAGCCTGGAACCAGGCTGAGTCAGTGAGTAAATAAGAAACCATACAACTTAATGGAAAACAACAAATGCAATAAACCCGTGGTTGTTATCCACACAGGTGTATGTTTTCTTACTGAACCTGGAACCAGTCGACATGACAAGGGCTGTAATTCATTATGTAACAATGGACATCCCCGTGTGGAACTTCTGAAAATGTCTGAATACCCAAAATGTGCAGAAACTGAATGAGTGTGTGTTTAACATGACATTAGGTAGTGGGTGAGTGAGTATGGTTTTACGTCGCTTTTAGAAATATTCCAGCAATATCACAGACAGGGGGCACCAGAAAATGGCTTCACACATTGTACCGATGTGGGGAATCGAACCCAGGCCTTCCATGCGACGAGCAAACGTTTTAACCACTAGGCTACCCCACCACCCCCAACATGACATTAAACATATCAAACAATTCTATTGTGATGAAGAAATAAATATATTTCCGAATATGCAAAAAAATCATAAACCCACAAAGAAAGTACCATTCCTCATGCAATTTGTTCTTGCACCTCTAAAGAGTTACACCCACAAACAACTGCTCTTTCTAACAAGCTTTCAACAGGTAAGTTGACACATCTTCACACATCAGTCCACACCAAAAGCAACATTTCTACACACATACAATCACAGCTGAGATTCTTCACTAGACCTGTGTTTTGACATGCAATCTGAGCTATTGTAGTCCAACATTTGTGGAGTGGAGGGCTTTGTTTACCAATATACCACATGGGTAAGAAAGTGTGTACCCTCCTGTCGCGTCTGTTAACACATTTCAGGAAAAAAGAACCCTCTGACGATACTTAGTTTTTGAAGCAGAACATTTTTTTTATAATTTAGCCTTCTGACCATCCAGTCAAACGTCGTTCTTTCGAGATTTGAGGTGTCAAACGGTTGTCCGGAAGTAAAAGTTTGGTCCCTGCGTATTCTGTCTTTATTCATCATTTTTGGTTGTGTAAAACCTCGGACAACTTGAGGTAATCACGTAGGTCCCTTTAACTTCGATATAATGGTGTTTGACTGTACTTTAATTAGAGCTTACATTAACTTTGATATATATTTATGTCAGTGAAAAAGATACGTATGTTAACCATGTAACAAAAAGTGACATTAGATGCTGCAGGAGCTTATTGGGATAACATAATACTTTGGACAGTACCCGACAAGAAATATATATCAATATATACCACTGTAACATATATGTTTATAATCCATAGCTAGGCAGGCTAAAAGGATCAATAATTGGAATTATTGTTGATGGGAAGAAATATTAACGATCATCGAAATGAAATTGTCATTGATAATAACTTACATTAACCATTGTGATGGAATAAAGTTTAGATTTACCGAAACACACTTGTTATTGTCAATCTTGTCAATTGTCAAGGAAGAAACTGTCCACAAAGTTATCCATGCATAATGTGTCACTGCTCACAGTGGTGTGAAATATGTTGATTTCTTCCAGGATTTTGTAGCACATTTCCTGAAAGTTACTTCTACAATAATTATCGATACATTGATCGATATTTAGATTGCGATTATTGATCTCAATGATCTATATCGATAGCCAGCCCTACCATGGCCGTGTGAAGGGAAAAAGATAATGTCAAAAACTAGGATAAATTGTTTTTGCTAGAAAAACCAGTAGTACGCAAAGTGAGACAAACGTCTGGGGTTCAATGACTGACTACGGGAGCATGGCACAACGACACTTGGCTTTACACTGTACATCTTGGTATTTGTGGCTAATCAGCATTCAGTAAAAGAGTGCCTCCATTTAAAGGACATCAACGTGACCAGTGTCCAATTCATGACTGCTCCACTGAAACACAACATCGCTGTGAGAGACAGTGAGTGAGTGGGTATGGTTTTACGCCGTTCTTAGCAATATTTCAGCAATATCACGACTGGGGGACACCAGAAATGGCACACATTGTACCCATGTGGGGAATTGAATTCGTGTCTTCGGTGTGACGAACGAACGCTTTAACCACTAGGCTACCCACCGCTTCTGTGAGAGACAGGTATTTTGGACAGAATAATCCATTTTTTATTAGAAACCATGGTAACTTGATAATCTGCCATCCGTACTCTATACAAACTATATATACATCTTGGCAAGTCTTATATACAAACATAGCTGGTTCTGTTATATGACTGCAGAAATGCATGAATGGCAGCTAAAAACCTTGTCAAGAGTATCAAGGGAAGTAATTTGGAAGTTTCAGGATTACCTCCCTTGTGTTATCAATTCTTATCTTCAACAGGTGCGATAATCTGTTTCAGTCATATCACTAGCATTTTTATATTCAAGAATTGGATCATTTAGAAAGCATCAAGATAATTCTGCGAAATTAAATGTTGAAGTATTTTGAATAATGTCATTTTATCAGCACCTTTCACATTACGTTTTATGTTGTCTGTACGATCTATTCCAGAAATGACTGTCGTCGGACTATAATTCCTGAGTAACACAATGGAGCATACCCACCCTTTTTGATTGTACTCAAACACTATGACATTGTGCCATGTAGATTCTGGAGAAGTTACCTTGTGTCATTTTCCTGAGGCAAGAGAGTTATACTCATAAAAGTCCAGTGTCCACCCTTGCCGAACTAGGCTGGCAGTATGGAGTTACAACATTTGGCTGGGCTAACGAGTCAATGCATAATCGAATCAAAATCGTGCAAAGAAAACGAAATCTGGTTCGTAAACTGATTGCAGGATTTGCAAAGAATGTGCACAGCCAACTCGTTGTCAACAGATATTTTCCAAATGTTTTCATGTTTTTAATCAAGGTGCTCACCTGATTTGATGCATTTTGTGATGTAAGACCCGTTTTATCACAATATAGATCTTGATTATACATCAGATCATCCTGACTAGGTGCTGCCACTTTGTTTGAAGCAAATGCAAGTGATATGAGAAGTGGAATTTGATTGGTCCATGGGAGAGGCTTAGAAGGGACATAACTTGTAAATGAAGGCGCTACGATTGAGCCCAAGAATTCCAGCCTAGCTTGGCAAGGTTGGAAACTGGATTTTCAATATCAGTTAAATCTCGTGCCTCGGGAGGATGCCTTGTGTTTGAGTTGCAATGAGTAATATCACGAGAATACTATGTACATATCACATCACTTCAGATCCAGTATCATTGTGGTTGGGTTCTCTAAATACATCTTCCACAAGTTGGAGAATCGGGCCATGGTGGCACCATCTACAATTCGATGATCGGCAGACCAGCTCACTTGCATGATGTGAGCTTTACGCACGTTGCCATCACGGTCAAAACGAGGCACAGCCTGCAAGAACAGAAAGCAATCATATTCCTTTTGTATTCAAAGCATAATATCTATAATTATTTATGAAATATTTACATTTATGGAGCCTGACAAATGTATGGACCACAGGCGAATAAGTAATTCCAAGTAATTTTATGGGCTAACCAAGTAATTATAGGGATGATAAAAAAAGATTTCAGAAAAATATGAAATTTATCATCGGTTCTGGGGGACTAAATGTTTTATGTGTATATTGTAATGGCATGGATCACAAAAGTGACCCTTGATATAATGAAACCAGCAGAAAATTCTTATCTTTGATAAACAATTTGAACTGGACCAGGCAAACCAGTGATTGAAAGCATGAGCAATTATTCATGGCATTGGGGCACGATGACACACAATACGCAAGTCAAAGAGTCCAAGTCCATCCCTTCTCTCACGACAAGGAGCTTGTGGATCTTTTTGTCCCTGAATACCCCCGTGGTCAGTCACATGCTGACATCAAACACTCACCTGTATCCTGCCGATGGCTCCGATGGCAACTTCAGGAGGAACAATCACAGGCCTAGCATATGTCCCTCCAATCTGTGTGAGTTAAGGAGAGTTAGTGAGTCAATGTCATTGTAGGCTGCAGTCAGCCATAGTCAGGCTTTATCAGGCAGCTTGAAAATAATGTCACAGTGGTGTTAGAAATAGTGAGCAACTATCCAGACCCATACTGGCAATAATGTCACAGTGGTGTTAGAAATAGTGAGCAACTATCAAGACCCATACTGGCAATAATGTCACAGTGGTGTTAGAAATAGCGAGCAGCGATCCAGACCCATACTGGCAATAATGTCACAGTGTTGTTAGAAATAGCGAGCAGTGCTCCAGACCCATAATGGCAATAATGTCACAGTGTTGTTAGAAATAGCGAGCAGCGATCCAGACCCATAATGGCAATAATGTCACAGTGGTGTTAGAAATAGCGAGCAGCGATCCAGACCCATAATGGCATATTAACATGCAATCACCAACTAGAATGAATTTTTATTCAAAAACATATGTCTTCCTGCTCCTTTTTCTTTATACATTAGCAAAAGATGTTAACTGTAAATGTGTTTGCAAAACTGAAACACAATAATAATAAATTGTAGCTCAGAAAGGTAATGGTTTCATTAACTGTAGAGTTTTGGCATGAAAACAAATATCAAATTGTTTCCATGGAAACACAAATAAAAAAAATAAAAAATATGAAAAGATAATAGCTGAGCATGTGGTCTTTGCACATGTTTATTTTTTATTCAATTATATTCATTAGTTTGAGAGTGATTGCTTGGAAACAAAGCCTAGAGTTGTTTGAGACAAAATCACATTGTCTAACCACCCATTTCATTAATAGGTCACCCCTTATGACCAGCATCAACCAGCAATACTCCACTTGGATGCCCCTTGGTAATTCATTAAAGCTAAAGGGATAACAGATTCGCAAAGCCCTTTTCCACTCAATGATTGTTTACTTTACATCTGTCTACCTATCTATACACAAGAAGAAGACTTACCGATCCTATATTTGACAAGGAGAAAGTTCCACCAGTGAGATCTGATGTGCCAAGTTTCCCTGCTGACCCTAATTGCTGAAGTCGATTCAACTCCGCTGCTAGCTCGAAGATGCTTTGTGATTGGACATTTTTAATATTTGGAACAGTTAGGCCATCCCCTGTGTCCATGGCAATGCCAATATTATGAGAAGCCTGTGAAATAGAAAAATTACATGAGCTGACCAAAACCCCAAAATCAGGATGAATCGGCATTGGTACAATCAGAGAATCCTTGCATGACAAAGGGACCCAACTCTGCACTGCTAATTGCAGTGCTTAGATGACGGTCCCCAATAAGTGATGGTTGTTGATTGCTGCACCGATTCCAGTTACCTATTGTACTAATTCCAGTTGCCTATTGTACTAATTCCAGTTGCCTATTGTACTAATTCCAGTTGCCTATTGTACTGATTCCAGTTGCCTACTGAACAAATTCCAGTTGCCTATTGTACTAATTCCAGTTGCCTATTGTACTGATTCCAGTTGCCTATTGTACTAATTCCAGTTGCCTATTGTACTAATTCCAGTTGCCTATTGTACTAATTCCAGTTGCCTATTGTACTGATTCCAGTTGCCTATTGTACTAATTCCAGTTGCCTATTGTACTAATTCCAGTTGCCTATTGTACTAATTCCAGTTGCCTATTGTACCGATTCCAGTTGCCTACTGAACAAATTCCAGTTGCCTATTGTACTAATTCCAGTTGCCTATTGTACTGATTCCAGTTGCCTATTGTACCGATTTCAGTTGCCTACTGCATCAATTCCATGTCCCATGCTTTGAGGAATTAAAGTTGACGATTGTTCTCTAACAATTTCCAGTCACACGGTACTACATTGTATTTGAAAAATGCTGTTCCCCAGAGATTGATCCCATACCCCTGTTCCTATTTCATTTCATGTTGTCCAATAGAACCATCACAGTAAACATGCTATTACAGTAATGAAAGCAACAGTCAATATTGAACTTGAGTACCTTGAAGATGATGTTTTCTACCTTGTCATCAATGCTGGAATTTAGAACAGGGAACTGAGACAAGGCCAGGGATGCTGCCTGTGAAAAGAATAATATTTAGAACTAAGGGTGTGCGGTATTATTGGTATATCAGTAAATGGAGGTTCATCTTTCCACGATACGTATCACAATATCATTTTTTCATCCTGTATATATCGGGTGATGTCAAATAGCGACTTTTTAATGTCATTTTCTTGCCAAATGTCTTCACTGCCCTGAAGCATTCGTCAGGGGCCCCAAGATGGCTGCGTATTTATTGACTGAGTAAACATCATGTTGTACCGGCATCTTGTTTTTTTCCATTTACCGGTATGAACTTCAGTTCATACCTTAATGTATCAGATTGCTGCTGAATTCAAAATTTATAATTATACAATATATCGTGATACGTATCGCAAAATAGCCTTGTGCATCACAAGATATTGTGATACACTTTAAACTTCAAATACCCATCCCTATTTATTACATTGAGTTTTAATTCAGATGCTGCAAATAATGACCTGATGCACACACACATGAAATAACCAAAAGAAGAATGTTTTTTCTTTTTAATTAACCTCGACATTGTTTCACTGTGATCACAATATATCCACATGAATATTTTTCAGTACAAACTTTCTTAATTGATTCCATAGATGAGAAAATGACTGTGATGTTAATAAAAAAGTACCAGTATTTATATAAACAAATCTGTTAGACAAAGCAAGACAATAATAAGGTCCTGAGTTATCTCCCCTGAATGCATTCACAGGATAAAGCAATCAATACAATCAATGGCACAAACCTTGATAAAAACTGGCATGTACGAAAACTTGATGCCCCTTTTTTCCGCCACCTTCTTGAGATCTTTCCTGAGATTAACAAGTGTTGTGACATCAATTTCATCATAATATCCAAAATGTGGAATCTTGAGAGCAGCACTCATTGTCTTCACCATAACCTTCTGCATGCCTTTGATTGGCTGAGTGTAGTCCTTTCCCACAGGAGTGGGGGTCCTTAGGACAGGGGTTGGGGTGGTGGCAGGTGCCCTGGCTGCCTGGGGCGACGAGGCGGGGGATGGAGGAGCAGCCTGTTTGCCTGTAAATGCTGTAACATTGTAACATGTCGATGTAAACACTGTATAATGTTGATGTAAACATTGTAACATGTTGATGTAAACACTGTATAATGTTGATGTAAACATTGTAACATGTCGATGTAAACAATGTAACATATCGATGTAAACAATGTACAATGTTGATGTAAACATTGTAACATGTTGATGTAAACACTGTAACATATCGATGTAAACATTGTAACATGTCGATGTACACACTGTAACATTGTAACATGTCGGTGTAAACACTGTATAATGTTGATGTAAACATTGTAGCATGTCAATGTAAACACTGTAACATATCAATGTAAACATTATACCATGTCGAAGAAAACACTGTTCATATCGATGTAAACATTGTAACATGTCGATGTACACACTGTAACATATTGATGTAAACATTGTAACATGTCGATGTTAACACTGTAACATATCGATGTAAACAATGTATAATGTCGATGTAAACATTATAACATGTCAATGTGAGCATTGTAACATGTCAATGTAAACACTGTAACATATCAATGTAAACATTATACCATGTCGATGAAAACACTGTTCATATCGATGTAAACATTGTAACATGTCGATGTACACTGTAACATATTGATGTAAACATTGTAACATGTCGATGTAAACACTGTAACATATCGATGTAAACAATGTATAATGTCGATGTAAACATTGTAACATGTCAATGTGAGCATTGTAACATGTCAATGTAAATGCTGTAACATGTCTATGTAAACATTGTAACATGCCAATGTAAACATTGTAACATGTCAATGTAAACATTTTGGCATATTGATGTAAACACTATAACATATCGATGCAATCATTGTAACATATCGATGCAATTATTGTAACATGTCAATGTAAACATTGAAACATGTTGATGTAAACACTGTAACATGTCAATGTAAACATTGTAACATGTCGATGTAAACATTGTAACATGTCCATGTAAACATTGTAACATGTCGATGTAAACACTGTAACATATTGATGTAAAAGCGGTAACATATTGATGAAAACACTGACATTTATCCAAAACTAGTCAGCTATATCGCAGAGATATGGCTACAATGAAATAGCATCACAATGCTTTGTAGACCATTGTGACATCATTACCATGACATCACTACTCTCTCTGACACTGAAGCTGTTTTGGAACTATTTACACTCAGCACACTGCTTATTACTGTTCACAAACAGAAAAACTTGGATGGATGATTTTGGATGATACACAGGATCTCACCGCTCGTGTGTTCCAAGTTCCAACATACCAAGACTCGAAGATAAGAGTAAAATATCCTTGATAAACCCTGGATATCTAACTTTTATCAACCCGTCTTGACATATTTGATCTTAGAAGACAATAAGACGCTGTAACAATGAAATATTGCTCTAGCATATTGCTGTAAACATGAGTTAATGAATGTTGACAGTCAGTCAGCAATATTCCAGCCGTATCAGCCTGGAAACAGTTGAGTCCAGTCCAGGCAAAGCACTGGTAACAATATGTAGCAATTCATGCCATTAGGACACAATGATCAGGGCCATGTTCTCAAAGTGATCTTTGTGCTAAGGTGATCTTAACTCCCATACATTAACACAGACTTCATTGCAGCGTAAGATGGCTTGGTGGAAGGGGGGCAGGGTACCGTGGTACGAAGCCATCTTAGTGCTAAGGTGATCTTAACTCCCATACATTAACACAGACTTCATTGCAGCGTAAGATGGCTTGGTGGAAGGGGCGCAGGGTACCGAGGTACGAAGCCATCTTAGTGCTAAGGTGATCTTAACTCCCATACATTAACACAGACTTCATTGCAGCATAAGATGGCTTGGTGGAAGGGGGGCAGGATACCGTGGTACGAAGCCATCTTAGTGCTAAGGTGATCTTAACTCCCATACATTAACACAGACTTCATTGCAGCGTAAGATGGCTTGGTGGAAGGGGCGCAGGTCACATGTTGGGTGATGCCAACATCCAGTTAGTTTTGGGAAGTGATTGATTGAGTAGATGATTATGACTGATTGAGTATGGTTTTACGCCGCTTTTAGCAATATTCCAGCAATATCATGGCGGGGGACACCAGAAATAAGCTTCACAAATGTGGGGAATCAAACCCGAGCCTTCGGCGTGACGAGCGAACGCTTTAAGCACTAGCAACCCCACTGCCCCGTTTTGGGAAGTGACAAATATACACAAACATTAAACAGTTGTATGACTGAAGCTAACCAGAATCCCCGTGGTCCAGACTTTCGATGTGTCTGGTGATGTCCTCCTTCAGTATACGGCCATCTTTCCCCGTGCCCTCCACATCCTTCAGGTGTATCTGACAAAATACGAAACAGTGGAAATGATGTCGATGAATAACATTTCACAGGCATGGATCTTTATACCAGCCAGTGCTTCTGGTAAATAATCATCTTCTTGCAACTGTGTTCGGCGTCATGTAAAATAAACAAAAAAATGCTGGTCACATCATGATATTAGTGTCTGTCACAACAATAAATAAAGGGTAAAGAAAAAGGAAGCAACAAATTCTACTTCACAATATTCGTTCACAAATCACAGTTAAGTTACAGCTGTGACCAGTTGTTCGCCTAAAGCATAATGTCCTGCCCTACTGCTGATTAGCGGTATCATGAATGAAGGTCAAGGTCACAGTAGAGTTTTCCTCCCCGGTGCTGTCACGTACCTTGTTCTCCATGGCCAGTCTGCGGACCGCTGGTGTTGCCAGCACTTTGCGGCCGGACTTGGTCATCTGCATAGAGTGGTCCTCGAGCCGCAGTTCGTTGCCAGAGATGTCGACTTCCTCAACATCTTCCTCCTGCTTGTGACCTGGGGTGAAAGTGAGTTTGTTTGTTAGTTTGTTGTTTAACGCTGCACTCAGCAATATTCCGAACAGTAAATAATTGAGTCTGGACCAGACAATCCAGGGATTGACATTATTAGCATCGATCCACTCAACTGGGATACAATGCCATGCATTGACCAAGTCACTGAGCCTGACAACCCGATCCTATTAGTTGCCTCTTACGACAAGCGTGAGTGAGTGAGTTGGGTTTAACATTGCTTTTAGCAGTCTTCCAGTTATATCACTACGTGTCAGCTTAATGTGGGAGGAAAGCCCAAAGTGATGCAGGTCTTAGACATTTACCACTTTGCTGAAACCCATCAGCATGGGAATGGTGCTGACAAACCCAGAAACATAATCGGGGCTAAACGGGATTCGAACCCACAATCATTAGTTTCAGCCTTGTCCCAAAATCTGCACAGGGAATGAGGACGCCTTAGACGACTGGGCCACCTGTGCCCCCCCTTGGGGTGGGAGAGGGAATGAAACGACTGCACTGTTTAATGTTTCTCTCCCAAAAATCAGCTTTGGTCGAGGAATTGCTTATGCAAAACAAAAAAGACAACTCTCAAACACTCATATGTCAGTCAAACATCTACAAAACTTGAAAGTGTTGAAATACTGCCAGTCAGGAATAAACTTTTATCAGAATTTGAAATCTGGCAAAGCTGGAAATGAGCTGATATCATATGGCAATAACTGTTTGTGCAACTGTTTGACACCAGACTTACTAGTGCCCTCTGTCTCGATGTCCACCAACGCCTCCCCCACCAATGCTGTTTCATCCACACCATAGTGGAGTTTCTTTACGATGCCATCGTAACGACTGGTAATAGTCACGGATGCCTTGTCGCTCTGAACTTCACAGATGCTGTCAAACTGGGCGACCTTGTCGCCTTCCGACACGTACCTGAAACATCGGAGCCACGATTCTTCAAAACAAAGAAAAATCTAATTTGTAGTTGAAAAGATGCCATTTTCTATGACATTTTTTTGCAGGTTATAATAAAGTGAGAGAGTGAGTGAGTTTGGTTCAAAGCTGCTGTGAACAGTTTTTCAGTAATGTCAGCTCGTTGAGGAAGAGCACCCAAAGAGATGCAGGTCTTTGACATTTACCACTCGAGTTTAAGCCACAAGCATGGTGCTAACAAACCTAGAAACACAAATCGGGCAAAGAGATTTGAGCATAGGTTACTGGCATACCTAAAGGATGCAACTCTTCACAGAGAACTGCGTCACATGTGCTCATTTTTCAAACATACCTTATGACAAAAATAACAGTGAAACTACAAGTTGTTATGAGGTCAAGTTGACTCCCATACAGCTGTATTGTGTATCTGAGGTTAAGTTGACTCCCATACAGCTGTATTGTGTATCTGAGGTTAAGTTGACTCCCATACAGCTGTATTGTGTATCTGAGGTCAAGTTGACTCCCATACAGCTGTATTGTGTATCTGAGGTTAAGTTGACTCCCATACAGCTGTATTGTGTATCTGAGGTTAAGTTGACTCCTATACAGCTGTATTGTGTATCTGAGGTTAAGTTGACTCCCATACAGCTGTATTGTGTATCTGAGGTTAAGTTGACTCCCATACAGCTGTATTGTGTATTTGAGGTCAAGTTGACTCCCATACAGCTGTATTGTGTATTTGAGGTATCTTTGGTTTTTCGCTGCTTTTAGCAATATTCCAGCAATATCACGACTGGGGACACAAGAGATGGGCTTCACACATTGTACCCATGTCTGGAATCAAACCCAGGTCTTTGGCGCGATGAGTAAACGCTTTAACCACAAGGCCCTCTGCTCCAAGAAGACAAGACAAAGATTAGGGTGGTCTAACCAAAGGGGAAACATAATCAATGAGATTGAGAAACACCATACCACTCCTTGATGATCACCTCTCTGATCCCTTCACCAATATCGGACAACTTGAACTGCATAACATCTTCAAGTGCTGAAACAAGAAGAGTGAGTCAGTCAGTTTGGTTCAACGCTGCTCTTAACACAGGTCATCTTCATGTAGGGGGCAAGCCCGAAGTGATGCAGGTCTCAGAAGTGTACCACTTCGTGAAACCCATGAGCATGGGTATGGTGCTAACAAACCTAGAAACATAATCAGGGCGAACTGGGCTTCGAACGATCATACGTTTCTTGCATGCTCAAGGATGCAACTCGGCACAGAAAATTGCGGCGCTTTAGCCGACACAAGTGCCCCTGAAACAAGAAAAATACACTTGGAACATAATCATAGCCTCACCCTTCAGGCCAGTCATGTTTGTGTTAATTACAGATTGATATTGGATTGATTAATGTCCAATAAAGAATGAGATCAACAGAAATTATAAATTCTTTCTCTGTCTGTTTCATAAAACTAACAATAAACAAAAGGGTAAAACTTTAAAACATTTTACATCTGTCCAATGATGTTCTGTTTCTTACTTTTTACCTGCAACAACGCCAGGCTTTGAGACCTTGTTCAAAGACAGGCTTTTGTATTTTATACAAATTATACTCAATATTTTATCCACACAAACTCAAAGAAATTAACTAAAATTATTTGAAAATAATCAACAACAAAATTCAAGTCAGTTTCTTTGGTTGTAAACTAAAACTGAAAAATACATGACAACGTTGAAATCGATTAATTGGAAAAGTCAAGTAAAAAACTTAATATTTAAGTGCATTCTTTTCATATTTGGAATTTTCATATCACTGAATTATTATTTCTTCAATCACATACTTCAACGTCGAATGTACAGTATTCATGATACTTCGGTCAGGGCAAACATCACTGTCTGCATGTAAGAAGACTTCTTCCCAAGGCAAGTGTGTCCACAAGCCTATATCAAAGCCTAGTTTCTACCCTTGCCACATCAAGGCCACTTATCTTGGCTCGACCCTGGCAACACCTCTTGTAGATCACAAGTTGTGCCCGTTGTAACGAAAATGCGATATCCAATCAGATCGCTGTTCTTATCCCGTATAGCTTCACAAAGATGGCGACTACCATAGGCAATGACCTAGTTGATCAGATAACAACAAAAAATCGTGATTTTATTCCTGATTGAAAAAAATAGGAAATCGTTGGGGGGGGATTAAAAAATGAATAAGACATATTCATGTCAACAAAGACAGCAGTGGTAAATCACTTTCGTACCAGTCGAGGATGTTGATTTTGTGAAATGTTTCTCAATTGGACTATCGATATGTGCGATAGCCCAATCATATTTAGCACAGGAAAGGGGGCTTGATGTGGCAAGGGTGGCAACAAGAGAAAAAAAGGCTTGTAGACGCTCTTGCCTCGAGAAGATGGTGAGAAGAGAGCCCGAAAACATTACAGATGTCCACAGGAACAGCTGTGGAACTAAGGAATGGCTGTCATGACTACCAAGGCAAAAGGAACCCACAATCTGCAAGCCAAGGGACACAACTCTGCATACACATACACACTCAAAATGTTTCATCACTGTCAAAGGAATAAAACACAAAACAATTACCTGTAGATGTTCGAAAATATCTTGGTTGAAGAGTTTTCTGTCCAAACTTCTGTTTCCTTTCACCACCAATCCCACAAATGTGATTTGTTGCGGACAGAGTCTGGTATTGTCTGCACTTAGCAACACCATAGGCCTGTTTGAAAATAAGCAATATACCTACAATAACAAACATGAAATAACAATATCTAACCTTGAAGTAAGATACTTGTTTCTGATTGGTTACTGAATTTTGCCCACATACCCCGCTGACAGATAAGGTAAAAATTTCACATATCCAGCTGGGAAATGACGACATTCTTACCAATCGAACACAACAATCTGAATATGTCATCTTGAAACTGAACACCTATCAAATGCACTGCCTGCAAGCTGTCAAGACGTCCATTATCTCTAAGAAACGGTTCCTTAGCCATACATTTAAGAAAAATGTCATTTAGGATCAGATGCAGGGATAAATCCCTGGGTCATAACTTTCAACCAAACGCTTTTAAATATAAATATTTTGTTGTGCACTCATAACAGATTTTAGGTCGAAGTCCAAATTGGCAAGATACTATAAGAACATTAATGAGTGAGGGGCTCATGGCACTGTTAGCAACTAATACATGTTGGATAGCAAAACCCAAGCAGTAGAAGCCACAGTTTAGCTTCTAGACCCAAACAGATGCTGATAACATAGCTAGAAATAGAAGCTCTGTACTCCTCTGTCTTTATTGTCGGTCACTGAATTCCTCCTCCAAAACATACTTGGAAGTTGTCCAAGTTAGAGTGAGTAAAGCTTTCAGGAATATTCCAGCCATATTCCAGCAGGTGACACCAAAAATGTCACTCATTGAACCCATGAGGGGGGAATGCCCTTGAATCTTTGGTCTGTCGATGTTACAATTCAACACATTAACCACTGCCCTTTCGAAGTCAGAGGATCATTCTTAGAATTCATACTGCATGGATATTTTAACATTAATCTTTTAACCTAAAAAACACTCAGCTACAATACAGAGTAGATGCCATGTATTTAATCAAAACAAACAAGAAACATATTAAGAATAGTATTGAGAATAACCATATTCTCTGAACAGCAAAATAAATTGCAAGTTTCAGATATGATCATTTATTTATACTGGCAAACTCACAACAATATAATAACTGAATCTGATAAGCGTGAGTAAAACATTTCCATTAGGGCAGGGTGACCCTTTACTCGGGGAGGGCAGGGTGACCCTTTACTGGGGGTATGTCGTGGGTGTGATGATTTTGACCAATCAAATTCGTTCAAGACACAAGAGGAGATAACTTAGATTCATGTATCACCTGTCCTGTCATTATATATTCATTTTAACCAATATTGCCAGTCAGTGATTGAAATAAATATACCATGTGAAAACTCATGTTATTAACAAGCAAATATACACATTCATTAATGAAAATCCCGAAACACTTTTCAGCATTACATGGCCCTTGTCGGCATGATACATCTCGATCTAGATTTTGGTAAATACTATATGAATCGTTCATTTGACAATTGCATAATATGCACTTGGTTGTCATTAAAAACACCGTGCATGGTGCGTTCATAGTCAGCCTTGATACACACTATTAAACGAAGCTTTCTTATGCTTGAGTTGACGAGCCGTGTAGAGATGGTAGCCATTTTCCTCTCCTCTCGCAGGTGCGCGATTTCCGCTTCCGGCGAACTGGAGGCTGCAGATCGTTTACATGTTGTCAGAGTGATGCGGCATCTCGAAACTTCCTGACTGATTAAAAATGTGAAACAAAACGGGAAAATATGGATAAATACGAGAAGATCAGAGTTGTGGGGCGTGGTGCTTATGGGTAAACAGGAATGGTTTTATTGAAACAAGGAGTCACATAGACTGTAGGCTAAATGATATGTTTTAGAACAGGGCCTGTCTGACACAATGCTATAATAGTGACAGGTCTAATCTAGGCCTATAATAAGTGAGTGAGATGTTGTTTAACGGCACAGTCAGCAATTTTGTTTTTCGAATTTCATATGGGATCGGGAATATTAAGTGGAAGTGTAAATGTATCACAACATTTGTAACTAAACATGCTAAAAGATACTGAAAAATTGGGATGTAAAAGGGCATGTATTCATCATTATAAACATTATCATAAGTGATGTAGAGTGTGATTTCATACAAAGATCTAGAGATTAATATGCGAGCATGTGTGTCACTGATTTTATGAAACGAGTGTCAGAATTCTTGTATTTCCTGAGTGAGAGCGAGGGTAATACATGAATTCTGACACAAGTTTCGTAACATCAGTATGACTCTTAAACTATTTTCTTTATTACCAATTCTTTCCCCCTTTGCCCCCCTCTCCTCCTTAGAAAAAGGCAACATTTTCAGAAAACCACTATAAGATTTGAATGATGTCAACAATGCTGTCTGGGTGCTTGAAACAATAAACTAGTGCGTGTAAAATGATATTTGCACAAGTGCACATATGGTTTTTAGGAACTCTGTTATTTCTAACCCTGAGGTTAATAATTGAAATTCCAAGGCTTTATCAATAACATCATCTAGGTGGCAAGTGGTCCTGTATACAGTGCACAGGTCACAAATCAGGTGAAGTCAAGCAACATCGGTCACGGAGAGTCAGATAGATGACTGTGTTCGGCATCTCTTTCAAGTTTCTAGGATGTCAGTCTTGCCCACACTGAAGCAAAGGCTAGTGACTTTGTTCTAAACATGCCTCTGTTTACCCAGCAGTGAATGTGTACCATGTAGTACCCAGTAGAGTGAAATGGTAATGTGAATGTTACCTTTCTAGCACCTCACAGCTAACTTGGGTTGTGTACTCCCCAGGGAGCTGAGAATGAAAATTAAGTGCACACTGATCCATTGGGGTACTACTTGGGTGTGGATTTAATACATTATATATAAAATACTCATTATTTTATTATTACAGCATTTCTTGTCTGAAAGCCATATCTTCTCAATATAATTTTATTTTCTACTTTTTTTTCAGCACTGTCCACTTATGCTGTCGTCTCAGTGACCACAAACTTGTAATAATCAAACAGATCCCTGTGGAGCAGATGACGAAGGAGGAGAGACAGTCGGCACTGAATGAAGTCAAAGTCCTGTCAATGCTGCATCACCCAAACATTATAGAATACTATGAGAACTTCCTGGAAGACAAGGCTTTGATGATTGTTATGGAATATGCACAAGGTGCTTCATAGAATCATTATCCCTTTGAACAATGATGTGTTTGTTCCGAAAATAATTTCTTAAGCTTTCATCTAAATGTTGAAGGCAAATAACCTATAGAGTCTACAGGCAAATTGAAATGTCGGATTCAATGTCGGATTGAAATGAGATGGTACTCAGTTACAGAATATCATGGTCCGCATCAGTTACTCAGCTGTCACAATGGTAACCGTCATCTCTGTTTCAGGGGGCACACTGCTGGATTATCTTCAAAGCAGAAATTCAAATCTGTTGGAAGAAGATGTAAGATGATTTAGGGTTTTTTCATATTCATCGTGTTCATGCTCATATTCTCCATGGAGGCCGTGGAACCTCCTTATCTTGAAGCCCTCAGGACCAACAGAAATATATCAGTGGAGATATCCGATTATGGTGTAATGACCAAGATTCTGCCAGAACCATCATGCTACAAGTTAATGGAACAAGTTAACTGTGAAATTATAAACACATTTCTCAGTACCGTATTCGACGTAATAAGCGCCCAGGGCGCTCTCAAAATTAGAAATAGGGGGCTATTATTAGAATATTATATTGTCGAAAAAAACAGTGTTGACAGATAAATTCTGTGGTTTTTGCTGACAGCCTGAAATGTTTATATATGAGAGATATATTTTTCCAGAATTTAATTGCCCATAATTAAGGGTGCATGTAACACACGAGTGCGTATTATATGCGAATAAATAAATCTTGTGTACATTGATCAATCGGAAAGGGTGCTAATTGGGATTGTTCAAGAGCCAATATATTAACAAATATTGCCGTGGGCGCTTATTAGAGCGGGGCGGTTATTATGTCGAATACAGTATTTGTTTGTTTGACAATGTGTGAAACCCATTTCTGGTGTCCCCCGCCGTGATATTGCTGGAATATTGCTAAAAGCAGTGTAAACCATACTCACTCACTTGCTCATTGTTTATTTGAAAAAAAATGAATAAACATTGCCTTAAGAATGCTGATGGATAACTACCAGCCTCAGATGAAATGAATGTTTTATGTTTTACCATGTTTGCAGTATCCCCTCTTGAGATATTACAATGTTTTACTCCAAAGTATTCATAGATATGTATTCTGTTTGTTTTCAGGAAATACTGAAATTCTTTGCCCAGATGCTGTTGTCTCTGCAACACGTCCACTCCAAGAATATCCTGCATCGAGATCTCAAGACACAAAACATTCTCCTGGCCAAGAAGAAGGAAATAGTGAAGATTGGTGACTTTGGGATATCTAAAGTTCTCAGCAGCAAAAGCAAAGCATTTACTGTATGTATATCTTCACTTGACAGCATAATTTAATTCTTTATGGTGAAGGAAGTTCACTCCTGAAAATTGTGCCTCAATATGTTGCGCAGGTTTTGGATGATTGTTATTTCATGACCTGTAAAATTGAACTTTTTAAATGAAGGTTGTTTTGTAAACTGTGTTTGTATTCTTTATGCGAGTATTGCTTTAAAAACTCAATTAAAGAACAGTCGCTTTGATATTAGATAGATAGGTAAGAAACAGTTCTGAAAATAATTGTGATCCAAGAATTGAAGTAAGCAACCATTTGGTATTCCTGGGGAGGGTGGGGAGTAATTTGTTCAAGAAAATGCCTGAAAAAAAGGAAAATGTTGCCTTTCGCTGGACATGTTGGCTGTCATGAGTGTAATCAGTTGTAAGAAAATAAGAAAACTGTTCAGGTAGTTCTTTCCAAGAAAAGGGGCGGTCGGGTAGCCAAGTGGTTAATGCATTCACTCGTCACGCCATAGACCCGGGTTCGATTCCCGACATGGGTACAATGTGTGAAGCCCATTTCTGGTGTTCCCCGCTGCGATATTGCTGGAATATTGCTGGAATATTGCTAAAATCGGCGTAAAACCATACTCATTCACTCACTTACTTTCCGAGTAAAATAATGTTTGTCTTAAAGCATGACTGAAAAAGAATTCAAACTCTGACAATACTTTATATAATTATTACACATATGTTAAGCTGTTTGTTTATTTACATATCTGTCCCTGTTTTATGTATTCCCAGGTTGTGGGGACACCTTGCTACATATCTCCTGAACTCTGTGAAGGAAAACCGTATCCTTGTGTTGATGATAATGTGACAATGATGTCTAATCAAATCAAACCTTGCAGAGACAGACTATGTCTCCAGTCTCCCATGCTTGTCATAGGAACTGGACCCGTGAAGATCCGGGGTAGAATAGGTCTTCAGCAACCCATGAAAAAGGCAACTATGCTTGTCGTGAGAGGTGACTAACAGGATCGGATGGTTAGGCTCGCTGACTCGGTTGATACATGTCATTGATCCCAATTGTGTGGATGGATGTTCATGATATCAATCACTGGATTGTCTGGTCCAGACTCGATTATCTACAGACCACTGTCATATAGCTGGAATATTGCTGAGTACGGCGTAAAACAACAAACCAACCAACCATAAGAACTGACTAAATGTGTTTGGAACAATAGGTGTCCTGGCTGAATGTTGGTCATCCTACCTTGATAATGCGGTCCTTGCTCATGCTATCATCCACTGGTTTGCCTTGTCCATAACAGAATATTTACCAACTGTTGTTATATAGCTGGAGTAAGAGGACTGTGGCATAAGGGAACATTGACATGAAGGGGGACTAGGATTGGGGAAGTCCCCCTTAATGTACAGGATCAGGTGGTCAGGTGACTTGGTTGATGCATGTCATTGTATCCAAAATGTGCATATCGATGCTCATGATGTCAAGCATTGGTTTGTCTGGTCCAGACTCGATTATTTACAGACCGCCAACATATAGCTGGAATATTGCAGAGTGCGGCGTTTAACAACAAACAAACAAAGAAATAAATTTTTTATCATTGCGTGTTTGCATGTGGGAAGAAAACCCATCTTCCAGAGGCAAGGGGGTTAACTGACTATAAAAGTCCAGTTTCCACCCTTGCCGAACTAGGCTGGAATTCCTGGGCTTGATCGTAGCGCCACCAGTGGCTATCACGACTTATGTCCCTTTAATGCCTCTCCTATGGACCAATCAGATTCCACCTCTTGTATCACTTGCATTTGCTTCAAACAAAACAGCGGCGGCGCCCCGTCAAGATAATCTGATAAATAATCAAGGTCTATATTGTGATAAAACAGGTCTTACATCTCGAAATGCATCAAATCACATGAACAGCTTGATTAATAACATGAAAAGATTTGGAAAATATCTGTAAACAACAAGTTGGCGCTGCACATGCTTTGAAAATCCTGCAATCGACCGAAATCTGCACAACAGTTTATGAACCGGATTTCAATTTCGTTGCGAGATTTTGATTGGACTATGCATAGACTCATTAGTCCAGCCAAAATGTAACTCCATTATACCAGCCAAGTTCGACAAGGGTGGAAACTGGACTTCTTTAGTCAGTTAACTCTCTTGCCTCAGGAAGATGGGAAAACCGGAAGTGATGCAGGTCTCAGACATTTTCCACTTTGGGTATTGTGCTGAAACCTAAAAACATAATCGGGGGGAACCGGGATTCAAACACATAATCATAGGTTTCTGGCATGCTCATGGGAGGCAACTCTGCACAGCAAATTGTGGCACCTTAGACGACTGGGCCACCCTTTAAACTGATAAAATGGATGCGATTTCAATTACTAATTATTATTTTTTTACTGTAGAGTTTGTTAGTGGTCAAATACATGTTTAGCTCACCTGGCTAAAAACTGCTAGAATTGAGTTGATTCCAACAATGGACTCATATATTACCCCTTATAGCCTCCAAACAATGTGAATTTGGTTTCTATGGCAACCATATTGAGAAAGGTTTTATTTGATAAGGACATAATTGGTTAGCCTTTGGCTAGTACACAGTGCAGGTTAGTTTGGGAATCAAGGGATAGAATCATGCCTGTGCTTATTCTAGGGGCTGAATTAAGTTGGATTAGGAATTGGCAACATGTGACATGACTGATTGTTTTAACATGCCCCAGCACAGACTGATTGTTTCGTAGGCTTCCATGTTTGGGCTGTTGTACATGATAAAAAAAATGTATGTAAACCAATAACAACTTTTTTAGAGTGGGAGAATTCCTCATATTAAGAAAGATTGAGACTGAAAAAGTTCTGCCAAAATAATAATTTTTAATTATCCTTTCTCACACCATTGCATTATTTCTCTGTTTCAAACAAACAGTGGCAAATGGTTGGCTGGTTTGTTGTTAAACACCGCCCTCAGCAATATTCCAGATATATGATGCGGTCTGTAAATAATCGAATCTGGACCAGACAATCCAGTGATTGACATCACGAGCATCGATCCACACAATTGGGATCAATGAAATGCATCAACCAAGTCAGCGAGCCTGACCACCCAATCCCGTTAGTGGCCTCTTACGACTGCAGTGTGAAGCAATATTATCAACCTCTGTGCAGACATGGTATATAGGCTATATTACACTATGTTATCACACCTTGACGTTGTCAGCTACAACCAGAAGAGTGACATCTGGGCTCTAGGCTGTGTGCTGTATGAACTTGCCAGCCTCAAGAGGGCTTTTGAAGCTGCGGTAAGAATAAATTAATCACAACTGTAGGAAATTGTACTGAGTACTGAGACATTATAAAACTGTAACAGTTGTATCATTAGTAGACCCAGGACACGAAACAATAAGGAGTTGTATAGACACTAGTACTAGGACATGAAATGATTAGGAGTTGTATAGACAGTAGTACTAGTACATGAAACGATAAGGAGTTGTATAGACAGTAGTACCAGGACATGAAACGATAAGGAGTTGTATAGACAGTAGTACCAGGACATGAAACGATAAGGAGTTGTATTGACAGAAGTACCAGGACATGAAACGATATTGAGTTGTATTGACAGAAGTACCAGGACATGAAACGATATTGAGTTGTATTGACAGAAGTACCAGGACATGAAACGATATGGAGTTGTATTGACAGTAGTACCAGGACATGAAACAATATGGAGTTGTATTGACAGTAGTACCAGGACATGAAACGATATGGAGTTGTATTGACAGTAGTACCAGGACATGAAACGATATGGAGTTGTATTGACAGTAGTACCAGGACATGAAACGATATGGAGTTGTATTGACAGAAGTACCAGGACATGAAACGATATGGAGTTGTATTGACAGAAGTACCAGGACATGAAACAATATGGAGTTGTATTGACAGTAGTACCAGGACATGAAACGATATGGAGTTGTATTGACAGTAGTACCAGGACATGAAACAAAAAGGAGTTGTATTGTTAAAAATTCCAGGAATGAAACTGTAATGATATGATCACTTCAGAAATCTTATTAAATTTCCCAAACTATCTTCCAGAACTTGCCAGCACTCTTCTAAATATTCTATTCCAGAACTTGCCAGCACTCATTCTAAAGATTATGCGTGGGACATTTTCGCCCATCTCGGACCACTACAGTGAAGAATTGCGGTCCCTCATCCTCAGCATGCTTCACCTTGACCCAAACAAGCGACCTGACATCAACCAGATCATGGCACAGCCAATCGTCATCAACGCACTTCTCACTCTACACACAGACATGGGCAAGGTCCCTTGTACCAGGTGAGTCACTCAAGCTTAAGTGTTGATCCGTGTCAGTATTACAAGGACATATACAATGCAAAAGAAGTTAAAGACCACCTGATTCTTTCCTATTATGATAGTTAATTTTTCATGCCATGTATAAGGGGCTAAAGCAAGGACTTGTCGGTATACTGTGTCTGAGTGGGGTATTCATATTAAACTGCAGCATGGTATCTCAGTGAGCGGCATCTGTCCGGACTAGTACAAGCAGCCTCCCCCACACACACGTGCATGTACGTCGCTATATAAGTGCAATAATCTTGGACCCATCTTCACTTAATCTAAACCCAATTTCACTTCACCGGAACAATTAGAAATATTCGGTTGTGTGTCAGTACAAAGATGTACTGTTTTAGTTTGTTTTTGGTAGGTGGGAAGAAAGTTATTAAAATAAGACAAATCAGATTATGACTTTGTTTTTGAAGTCCCTATCTGAATATGTTGCCCTGTGCACGCATTTTGTTAAGACCCGTGAAGATCTGGGTTAGAATTGGGCTTCAGCAACAAAAGACTTGTTGACTTGGTTGATGCATGTCATCGTATCCCAATTTGTAGATCAATGCTCATGATGTTAATTCCCATATTGTCTGGACCCAGCTTGATTATTTACAGACAGCAGCCATATAGCTGGAGTATTGCTGTGTGCTGCGTTAACAACAAACAAACATCTATTTCTTAAGAAGTGTTGTTCTTTAGTCAGTAGATCCATAACCTAAGTTTGAAATAAATATCACCCTATTTTAGAGTCAGGCCTTGTCTGTCTTACAGTCCTGGATGATATTATTTTCCATTCCGCCCTGCTCATACTGTAACGCTGTAGCCCTCAATGAAGCAAGTCTACATTTTCCACAGGTTTAGTAATCTTCCATCTCACTGGGGCTCCTTTACAATTAAAATGTAGCTGCTTGTTGTAATCAAAAATATTTTTCAGAATCTACCGGTAAACAATAGTCTTAGTCAGGCCATGAACCACCACGATGCAAGGTCTAGCCATTATGTCACATCTTCCCGAGGCAAAGGGAGTTAAATGACCATAAAAGTCCAGTTTCCACCCTTGTCGAACTAGGCTGGAATACCTGGGTTCTATTGTAGTGCCACCAGTGGCTATAACAAATTATGTCCCCTCTATGCCTCTCCTATAGATCAATCAAATTCCACCTCTCCTTTCACTTGCCTTTGCTTCAAACAAAATGGCGGCGCCAAGTCAAGACTTCGGATCGATAATCAATATCTATATTGTGATAAAACGGGGCTTACATCCTGAAGAGAATCAAATCAAGCGAGCACCTTGATTAAAAATATGGAAAGATTTTGAGAATATCTTGATATCTGCACATGCTTTGTAAACATGGAATTGACCGAAATCTGCACGGCGGTTTACAAACCAGATTTCGATTTCACTGCCCAATTTTGATTTGACTATGCATAGACTCGTTAGTCCAGCCAAAATGAAACTCCATATTACCAGGCCCTGAATCAACTCACAGGGAAGGTACAGTTTACTGCAACAACTGCTTATGATAAAAAGTTGTATTTGTTTATGTCAGTTTTTCAAGCCCTTTTGTCATTCAGAATCCAAAGACCTTTATCCAGCATCCCCGGGACTGGGAGGGGCAGGGTGTCAGCCCGGGGGATGCTGTCGTCTCGAGGTGAGTTGACAAATTATATATCAATGACGGACATCTACAACTACTGGTATTAGCGGCAGTGGCTCGACTAGTTTCAAGACCTTGCGATACAGCTGGTATACAGCTGATTTATATTATTCAACAACCATGATTGTGATGTCGCCACCAGATTAAGACCGACTCTGCAAACATCCTTCATTTAGGATAGCAGCTATTTGTGGAATTAACTTCAATCGGTAGTAAAAGAAGTTCATTTCAACTGTTTGAACAGAAAATAAACCAGAAACAAAAACACTCTGACATTTTGTATCGGATTGAAAATGGGAAAGCAAGTGTTCTACATACAAGACTTAGGCATGCAGTCTACTTATTAAAGCCGAATCTTATAGAAAATTATATCTGTAATTGCGGTTCAGACTCTGAGAGTATATTATGATATTTACTTGAATGTCGTAATTACATTAGATCTTGAAGACTAGTAGTACTTGGATTTGGCATTATAAGTTGTAGCAGGATCACGAGGGATGTATAAAACTCCATGAACCCCGAGTGATCCCGCTGCAACAAATTTATCTTACTGACATGTAGCTTGCGCTGTGTCACGTGACTTCCATTGACTCCATTGGAAAAAGCATGCATCTTTTTGCTTTGAAGCGGGGTATAAGGGATTTATTCTGCCTCTCAGAAATCCACATGCAGTCTGTATTGCTTGTGGTGGGGTATAAGAGATATAGTCCCCCGCTGACTGAGATATTTATTACCCTCAAAGGTGGGTTCCTCTTTATCAAGATCACGTTGACCAATCAGATCTCATCATTCTGACATGGACGTATGATAAATATTTTAACCTACTGTTATTTGTCGACCCAAACTCAGATAAAATTCCTTTTTTAAGGTGTACATAATTATATTCGGTCAACTCATAGATTTAACTGATCGATGCTTTTGTGTGCAATTATGTTTTTTGTAGATAGTTCATTACAGTGTTGATATGTATTCTGTGCTTTTGAAAAGGAAACTAAGTAAGCTCCTGGAGCTATTTTCCAATCCTGTTGATTGTCACTAAAACATGTGTGAATCAATCAGAAGGCCTCCCTGCCAAGCCTGCTGCCCTGAGTTCCGTGTACTGCTGGGGAGGGGGGAAGACCTCCCCGGTCAAACTGCCCCTCCCTAGCTTCGAGACCCAGGTGATCCAGGTGTCCACTGGTCGAACACAGAAGGCGGCCATCACAAAGAATGGGAGGCTGTTTGTGTGGGAGGTAAGACTCTTCTTTTGTTGAACTGGTGTTGTCATGACAATCCGTAGTTCAAATAGGGATGACATAAAATAGAAGGTTTGTCCCTCCTTTTGGGGGTTAGAATAGGTCTTCAGGTCCCCATTGCTGCCTGAAGAAAGCGACTAAATTGGATCAGCTGGTTTGGACTCAATTTGTTTGTTTGTTTGTTGTCTAACCCCTCACTCAGCAATATTCCAGCTATGACAGCGGTATGTATATCATATCATCGAGTCTGGGCCAGACAATCCAGTGATTGATATCATGAGCATCCATCCACGCAATTGGATTACGATGAATGAATCAACGAAGTAAGCATGGCTGACCCCCTGATCTCCTAAGTCGCCGTTCACGACAAGCAGGGGTTGTTTAAGACCTATTCTGACCCAGGTCTTCACGAGTCCAGACTCAGTGACTTGGTGATCATATGTCATCCTGCCAGTGCGGGATGTTGCTCATGATATCAACCACTTGTTTGCCTGGCCCAGACTGTTATTTACAGGCCACCATCATACAACTGGAATATTGCTGAGTGTTGTGTTAAACAAACAATAAACAAAAACATGACATGACAGTTGTAATTTCTGCAAAGTCCGACAATGTGACACAGGTCATGGACACATGGACATGGTGCCCCCTAGACTTACAGATCCTTCTCTTGTGCAGCATGTGGAGGGCAGGGGAGGCCCAGTGATCTATCTAACTACAATTTGCTATGCAGAGTTGAGTCCCTTTTTTGTGCCAGGATCAGTTGATACGTGTTGAAATCTCAGTTTTGACCTTATTATATATAGCCTTGGTTGGGGTAGCCTAGTGGTGCAAGAGTTCACTTGTTATTCTGAAGGCCTGGAGTTTAGTACAGAGTTTTAGTTTCTGTTGTCAGCCCTGTGATATCACTCACTCACTCACTCACTCACTCACTCACTCACTCACTCACTCACTCACTCACTCACTCACTCACTCACTCACTCACTCACTCACTCACGCGAAGATCCGGGCTAGAATAGGTCTTCAGCAGCCCATGCTTGTCGTAAAAGGCGACTAATGGAATCGGGTGGTCAGGCTCACTGACTTGGTTGATGCATGTCATCGATTCCCATTGTGTGGATCGATGCTCATGATGTAAATCACTGGATTATCTGGTACAGACTCGATTATTTACAGACCGGCGTCATATAGCTGGAATATTGCTAAGTGTGGCGTAAAACAACAAACCACTCACTCACTCACTCACTCACTCACTCACTCACTCACTCACTCACTCACTCACTCACTCACTCACTCACTCACTCACTCACTCACTCACTCACCCACCCACTCACCCACTCACCCACCCACTCACCCACCCACCCACCCACCCACCCACTGCAAATGTGGAACCTACCAGAAATTGGAAGTATGCCACAGATACGCTAACACTTCCAGGATCTTATCCCTTCCATGGAGTCTCAAATAGAAACAGTAAGTGAGTGAGTAAATATGGTTTTAACCCGCTTTTGGCAATATTCCAGCTATAGCACTGCCGAGGGACACCAGAAATGCTATATTCCAACCAGCATAAGGGCCTACCCACTGTTTTGTTGAGCATGTCAACACACTTGTTTCAGTCTCCTGGTGTTGGGGCGGAGATGTCCATCCCCGGCAGCGTGGACAGTGCTAACCCAGCGTACGTCCCACGCTACCTGGAGGGTCAGGCTGCAGTCACCATACAACACGTGGCCTGTGGGGATCTCTTCGTGGCCTGCCTCACAGGTGAGTAGCTTAGACACACTTCACCAGCCTTCCACATTCACATGGTTTGTGAGCCCAAACTATAAAATTACACCCTAGTGACAGATGTGTAACTCACAGTACACCCTAGTGACACCTGTAACACATAGTACACCCTAGTGACACCTGTAACTCATAGTACACCCTAGTGACACATGTAACTCATAGTACACCCTAGTGACACCTGTAACTCATAGTACACCCTAGTGACACATGTAACTCATAGTATACCCTAGTGACACATGTAACTCACAATACACCCTAGTGACACATGTAACTCATAGTACACCCTAGTGACACATGTAACTCATAGTATACCCTAGTGACACCTGTAACACATAGGCACCCTAGTGACACCTGTAACACATAGTACACCCTAGTGACACATAGTACACCCTAGTGACACCTGTAACACATAGTACACCATTGTGACACCTGTAACACATAGTACACCCTAATGACACATGTAACTCATAGTACACCCTAGTGACACATGTAACTCATAGTACACCCTAATGACACATGTAACACGTAGTACACCCTAGTGACACATGTAACTCACAATACACCCTAGTGACACATGTAACTCATAGTACACCCTAATGACACATGTAACTCATAGTACACCATAGTGACACATGTAATTCACAATACACCCTAGTGACACCTGTAACTCACAATACACCCTAGTGACACATGTAACACATAGTACACCCTAGTGACACATGCAACTCACAATACACCCTAGTGACACATGTAACTCACAATACACCCTGGTGACACCTGTAACTCACAATACACCCTAGTGACACCTGTAACACATAGTACACCCTAGTGACACATAGTACACCCTAGTGACACATGTAACACATAGTACACCCTAGTGACACATGTAACTCATAGTACACCCTAGTGACACATGTAACACATAGTACACCCTAGTGACACATATAACACATAGTACACCCTAGTGACACATGTAACACATAGTACACCCTAGTGACACATGTGACACATAGTACACCCTAGTGACACATAGTACACCCTAGTGACACCTGTAACTCACAGTACACCCTAATGACACATGTAACTCACAATACACCCTAGTGACACATGTAACACATAGTACACCCTAGTGACACCTGTAACTCACAGTACACCCTAATGACACATGTAACTCACAATACACCCTAGTGACACATAGTACACCCTAATGACGCCTGTAACACATAGTACACCCTAGTGACACCTGTAACACATAGTACACCCTAGTGACACATGTAACACATAGTACACCCTAGTGACACCTGTAACACATAGTACACCCTAGTGACACCTGTAACACATAATACACCCTAGTGACACATGTAACTCACAGTACACCCTAATGACACATATAACACATAGTTCACCCTAATGACACCTGTACCACAAAGTACATCCTAGTGACACATGTAACACAAAGTACACCCTAGTGACACCTGTAACACATAGTACACCCTAGTGACACCTGTAACACATAGTACACCCTAGTGACACATGTAACTCACAGTACACCCTAATGACACATGTAACAAATAGTTCACCCTAATGACACCTGTAACACAAAGTACACCCTAGTGACACATGTAACACATAGTACACCCTAATGACACATGTAACACATGGTACACCCTAGTGACACCTGTAACACATAGTACACCCTAGTGACACATGTAACACATAGTACACCCTAGTGACACATAGTACACCCTAGTGACACATGTAACTCATAGTTCACCCTAGTGACACCTGTAACACATAGTACACCCTAGTGACACATAGTACACCCTAGTGACACATGTAACTCATAGTACACCCTAGTGACACCTGTAACACATAGTACACCCTAGTGACACATAGTACACCCTAGTGACACATGTAACTCATAGTACACCCTAGTGACACCTGTAACACATAGTACACCCTAGTGACACATAGTACACCCTAGTGACACATGTAACTCATAGTACACCCTAGTGACACCTGTAACACATAGTACACCCAACCCGTGAAGATCCAGGGTAGAATAGGTCTTCAGCAACCCATGCTTACCGTTAAAGGCGACAATGCTTGTCGTAAGAGGCAACTAACGGGATCGGGTGGTCAGACTCGCTGACTTGGTTAATGCATGTCATCGTATCCCGATTGCGTGGATCGATGCTCATGATGTCAATCACTGGATTGTCTTGTCCAGACTTGATTATTTTACAGACTGCCGTCATATAGCTGTAATATTGCTGAGTGCGGCGTTAAACAACAAACAAACATAGTACATGTCCTAGTGACATATGAAACCCATCAAGCGTTGGGCTAGCCTAATTATCACTCGTCACCCCGAAGACCCAGGTTCGATTCCCCACATGTGTACAATGTGTGAATTTCTGGCATCCCCTGCCGTGATGTTGCTGGAATATTGTACACTCATAGTACACCCCCCATAACACCTATATCTCATGTTCTGTGTTGTTTGTTTCTTGCTGCACTGTGTATCGTCCTATCTTTGTTTCCTCAGATCGGGGTATACTCATGACGTATGGAAGTGGCGCCAATGGCTGCTTGGGGCATGGAAACTTTAACGATGTCGCTCATGTGAGTTGTGTTTTTAATGGTCACAGTGTTGTAATGATATTTGTTACAAGGAGCATATATCCTTTATTGTAACCATTATTGTATTTCTACTTCAAGGCCAAAATTGTGGAAGCGTTGCTAGGTTACGAAGTGATACAGGTGTCGTGTGGTGCGTCACATGTTCTGGCTGTGACCAATGAACATGAAGTGTTCTCCTGGGGACGTGGCGATAACGGTAGGTACAAGATCGTGAAGTGGAATTAACTTTCAACTCATCTCTGAACTTGTGTATTATAAAACATTGATACATTGTTGAAACCAGAGTGCATGACCTCAGTAACATTGACTACCAGGGCTTGTAGACAAATACTTAGTCTCAGAAAATATATAATTTTGCTAGAAAGGAATAACTCAGTGAGATGTGATATTCAGAACCTATGGAAAATATAGACTTGCTGCATTGATTAAGGGCTGGGCGGAAGGGAAAATAGTATGGTTAAGGGACAGTGAGACAGACTATGTAGTGTCTGGTTTTACTAAGAAGCTGAAAATGGGGGCATGATGGGGGCCATGTGCTGTAAAAACAGAAGACATTCTTTGGAAAAAAACAAATGATCATCAACTGTCTTGTGTTGATAGAACATTAGGTGTATTGCGTAAGCATGACTTCTGTCCTATATAGAAGACAACATGGCTCGTTCCTGTCACATGGAACACAGTTGGCTCAAGTTGGGGTTTTGGTAGACAAATGGCGTTTGACTGTTTATAGAACATTCTTTTACCAGTACTGAAAAACATGTCCGCGATTTTCCGGATTAAAATCAGTCAGTGTCTTTGGAAAAGAGCCGATCTGAAACCCTGCTAGTAAATAATACTAGCGACTGGTGTACCTGCAAGATGGCTTCTAAGAATGTTAGTTTAGGGTTGGGCTGACCCGTTTCTACCCCTGTGCAGTTGAAGTGAACAGACGACTGTGATATAGCGTGTAAACATACAGGCTTGCTTTGCGACACTAATGCAAAAATGCCTCACATCAACAAATTAAGTCATAGAGTGAATGTTAACATCCAGTGTACATTGCTGATAATCATGATAATAATAGTTTGTTGACGATGCGACACAGTGTCATGCGGAACTCAGGCTTCTTTGTTAGCCGTTCCTTTCTTCCTTCCCTCCTTCTATCCATCAGCGTAATCATAAATAATATTCCTACCGAAATTATATAAATAAATTTCAAAGTTTCAACTGATCAATCTGTACAAGGCACGCATATCTTCACCAGGTCGTCTCGGCCTGGGGACGCAGGACTCGTGCAACAATCCCCTGCCCGTCCAGATCCACGACAGCCTCCGCCCCTGCTCGGTACACTGTGGGGTGGACTGCTCCATGATCGTCACCCTTGACAACAAACTCCTGTGTACTGGCAGCAACAGGTAAACATATTCACTGTTGTTCTAATACATGCTGGCTGTAAAAGGCGACTATGAAGGTTGTATGAGGCGACTAACGGGATTGGGTGGTCAGGCTTGATGTATGTCATTGTATACAAAATTGCTTGGATTGATGCTCATGATGTCAATCACTGGATTGTTTGGTCCAGACTCAATTACTTAGAGACCGCCATCATATAGCTGGAATATTGCTGAGTGCGGCATTAAACAACAAACAAACAAACAAAAACAAACCCATGCTCTAATAACAAGTAATTATGATCATGATCATGAGAAAGTATGGAAAGTTGTACATGATAAACAAAATGTATGTAAAACAATAACAACTCTTTTAGAGTGGGAGAATTCCTCATATTAAGAAAGATTGAGATTGAAAATGTTCTGCCAAAATAATAATTTTTAATTATCCTTTCTCACACCATTGCAATATTTCTCTGTTTCGAACAAATGGTGGCAAATGGTTGGTTGGTTTGTTGTTTAATGCCGCACTCAGCAATATTCCATCTATATGACGCGGTCTGTAAATAATCTATTCTGGACCAGACAATCTAGTAATTAATATCATGAGCATCGATCCATGCATTTGCTTGGCATAAGAGGTGACTAACAGGATCAGGTGGTCAGACTCACGGACTTGGTTGATGCATGTCTTCGTATCCCAAATGCGTGGATCGATGCTCATGATATTAATTACTGGATTGTCTGGTCCAGAATCGATTATTTACAGACCGCGTCATATAGCTGTAATATTGCTGAGTGTGGCGTAAAACAACAAACCAACCAACCAACCAACTATTACAAATCACTAAGGTAGAGCAGGAATATTACTGGCATAAAACACTAGATCCCTCAAGGATGTGTGACTGAGCAGTGATGTACCAGTGTATTCAGCCTCTCTGTCGGCTAGGTTCAACAAGCTGGGTCTGGATGAGACCGATGGTCGAGGTGTGGAGGAGACATCCATCTTTACACTAGTTGCCTCTCAGCCAATCACAAACTGCCTGGTGAAGACTGTTGCCCTTGGCACCTCCCACTCAGCCCTGGTCACAGGTAAGATTGACAGGTGTCACAAACATGGACAGAATGTCTGAATAGGTTGGTGCAATTTCTGTGTTGAGTGAGTTTCTGAAGTGTAGCTTCGTACATTGTACCTACCTGTAGAATCAAGCCCGCAAAGGACTTTGGCTTGACGAGCTGAATGGAGCCAAAATGATTGATTATAAAACAGGGTCTAAGATTTTGTAGCTGGTCTCTGGTACATGAGATTTTTGTGATTAAACCTTTAGCTTTAGAAAGCTTGGATCAATAAAGATGAAACTTCAAGTGATGATTCCCTACAATGATGACACCCAAATTTGTTCAAAATGGTCTAATCCGATTTTCAATATGGCCGCCACAAGACGGCCATATTGGAAAACCTATTTATAACCATGACTCCACTATTTATGTTCAAAATGGAATGAAAGTTGGGACATACGTAGATCATAGTGGGCATCAACATGTGTTATATGTTCCATTTTGTACAATATTTTACATTGTGACCACGACTTGACCTTTGCACTTAGACCACACTGAAAGCTGTACTGCTGATGGCCATTTCTCAGCCATTTTGTTATAAAATTGAAAAACTGTTAGCATTGGAAAAGTTATTCCCCTTTATGGAAGGTATATAAGGCTCAAAGTTGAAACTTTTTGTAAAGTAAATGGAACTGTTTTGTCTTACATCAATATTTTGCAATAGTACATTAATACTTCCTGATTTTGAAAATTTGTGGAAATTTAGATACTTGTTTCATGTAAGTCAGATCTTTAGTCCTCAGTATTAATACAGAAAATATTTGAATCGCAATACTGACAGTGACTGTGGCTGTTGACTATCAGGTGAGCTATAGTGCAGTGGTGCTATTCTGTTCTAACTGAAAGATTTTCGCAAATGTGTCATCCCAAAACCAACACAAGAACAGGTGTAATGTGTGTAGAGAAGTGGAGACAGTTGTAAGACTAATTATTACAAGATCATGTCAACAGTGGAATCATTATGGTTACAGGGTGTCCCCAAGGGCACACAAAGTTATTTTCTTAAGAATTAGCCTGCCCTAAGTTTGGTAGAAAGAAGGTAAAAATGCCATGTATTTTATCTTTTTTTCCTTCTGCCTCCAACCTTTCAAATATTGACCAAGAAAGTGTCACCATCAGTACTTCATGGGTATGTTTTCATTCACTACATTCCTCCATCTCAGTTGACTGATATGTGGCGTAGTGGTGATTTATTTATGTATTTTATTTTATATATTTTATTTTATTTATTTATTTATTTATTTATCTATTTATCTATTTATTTATTTATCCACATACTAGTGTCTGCTCAAATGCATTTTTTATTTGTTCTCTGACCAGTAGATCTATTTACATCCCAATTTTATCATTCTCAACTCCATGGGGAGTATACAACCTAAGCTGCCTATGGGCACTATAAGGTTTGTACATCCACCTTACATATTGGGTACCCATTCCATGCCAGGTGAACAGAGGCACATTTGAACTAAGTCACTTGCCCAGGGTGACAGCAAAAGTTTTGACACTTGTGTTTCTAGTGAATGTAGGTATTCGTGTTTCCACCATCTGGTCATCTACCATCGGACGAGTCGGTTCTTTTGAGTGTAAACATTGTTGGTCCCAAGGCTGAATAACAACCTGGTCACTAGCTGGATACGATCTCAGCACCTGGCGATTTTGACCGCTTGCCCACTCAGCCCCCGGAGTATGTGACTATTTGTTGTCAGCCAATGAAATGAGGTTATGTATAACTCATGTGCAATGTAATCTGAATGCTGATTGGTCAGGGGAGTCGCTGGAACCAGGTGGCGGCTTGATTCATTGGTTAAAATTAGCAACTACACTGCAAAGACGATGAAATGTATTATTGTGAATAACAACATGCATTTGATACTCTTACAATTTCAGTTGAAGGACAGGTATTCACATTTGGTGCTAACCAGTTCGGTCAGCTCGGCTACGAGTCAGACTTTCCCACCAGGCGGCCGAACCAGGTGCAGTTCCAGCAGTCGTGTAACATCAGTCAGGTGGCGTGTGGGGATACGTTCACTGTCGCAGTGTCCGAGGGTAAGAGCTATACGTTCAGTCGTAAGAGCGTCTGGAAAAGTTCTTTGGTGGCTAGAATAGACAGAAGTCAGCCCTTTAAGTAATCTGAAGCATCATGGAGGGGGGAGGAAGGAGCAGGGGATTAGGAATCTGCTTGTCTAATCCATTTGTCCAGAACATGTCTCTAAAACTAATAAGTACAGTAAACTACAGTTGGAACGAAGACGCTTATAACGAACTGACGGATATAAATAAATTATTTTTTGGTCCCCGCCATTTTCTGTTTATATGCTTATAACAAACTATGGCCGTCCCTTTGAGTTCGTTTTTACCATGGTTTAATGTATTCTTTCATGAAACTTTGCACACACAAAGACCAGGTTGTCAACTGGTGCCTTTTGCTCCTGGTATTTGGTGATTTTTAGCACTTTAATTTTTCATTTTCACGGCAACAAATTTGAACATAAACTTGTCTGGCTTGCTATTCGCCAGTGAGGGTAACCAAAGTAACAAGGGAATTGGCACATGGCTTATGCTGTAATCTGTAGTTATCAACAGTTACCGAACCTCACCTTTTACTTCAAACTTAGGAAATCTTAAATTTTGCAGCTTGATAGAAATATAGATATTAATGTTTACACTAAACAGATGGGGAGGTGTTTTCCTGGGGAAAGTCATCAAGAGGTCGGCTTGGACGAGTTGATGAAGAGACAAATGTTCCAAGACAAGTGATATTTCCTGGTGAAGATGTGTTTTCTGTGGTCTCAATATCTTGTAGCCATGGCAACACAGTACTTGCGACACGACGTAAGTCTCTTTTGCCACTTATACCAATCAAAACGTTTAGCCTGCTGGTTCTTTGAGACTGAATTTATAACTTATCCAACAATCATTCTTTCCATATTTAGATTACTATCATTAATAAAAATGTCAACTCATATGGATCTCATGAATGCATGTGAGATGTTGATGACTGTTAATTCAACAACTGATCCACTGTGCTGAAGTCCGCAGGGCTCCCAAACTGGAGAGACCGCCTCCGTGGTCTAGTGGTAGAGCGTCCGCCCGGAAAGCGGAAGGCCCGGGGTTCGCTCCCCGGCCGCGTCATACCAAAAGACATTAAAAGATGGTACTTGTTGTTACCCTGTCTGGCGCTCGGCATTAAAGGGCTAAAACAAGGACTGGTCGGCTCAGAGTCAGTTTACTGTGTCTGAGTGGGGTATTCATGTTAAACTGCGGCATGGTATCTCAGTGAGCTAGCACTATAAACCGGCATCAGTCCGGACTAGTACAAGCAGCCACACAAACACACACACGTACATGCACGTCTCTATATAAGTGGAATAATCTTGGATGTGACGTTAAACCCCATTTCACCTCACCTCACCTCCAAACTGGGGAGGGGCTGTAGGGTAGCCCAGTGGTTACAGTGTTCATTTGTCACACCGAAGACCCGGAATTGATTTCCCAGATGGGTACAATGTGTGAAGCCGATTTCACTTTCAAGAACACAAAAATAACCGGAAAGGTCTTTTGTAATATGAAAAGGTTTGGAGCAGTACATCCTCAAACCAAGAAATGTAAGAGTCTGTCCTTGTGAGAAGCTGTAACACTGATGTCTGTCTCTCTCACTCTCTCTCTTTCTCACTCACTCACTCACTCACTCACTCACTGCATTTCAGCTTTCCACAGATCTGGAAGCCCCATTGAATGACAAGCAGCAAGTGACCCATATCTCAGTCCAACAGTCCATGAACAACCATGAAGGATGGCTATTCCTCCAGATGCACCTCCTGGCTCTGAGACTGGGATACAGCCGGGATGCAGGTCATCTGTAACCAAGGCGTCCAAGATACCGAGGACAACTGTCACCGACATGTAGTCATGGAAACACCATTCTCATTAAAATCAGATCTTAGTTCTTGCTATCGCTAAACAAAGATCTGAGGACATCCCATTACAGGTCACGTCAGACCAACCTTGCGCGAACTTTGACCGACCAATGGAATGACCAATCAGAAGGCAGCTTTCTTGTGCTTTACGGCACTAATTTCAATTTGTCGACTACGCTACGAAACATATTTTGACAAATTCTTGATTACAAATTTGAAACCTGAACAAAAGAACATTCTGGAATGGCAAATAGATGGGCTAGATTGTATGGATTCAGTCGTTAAACCCGTAACTATCGTTCGGAATAAAGTTTTCGAGGTTGCATGATTAGAAATCACATTCCGACTGTCACTTTCATGATCTGGTAAGCAACGCTCTGACTGGTCGGATGAAAGGTCGTTCTGGCGTGACCCCTAACAGAATGTCTTCAGATCTTTGTTTAGCGGTAGCGAGAACTAAGGTCTCATTTAATGAGATTGTGGAAATACTGCAATAGAAGGATGTGATCTCTGTTACATGAATGGTAGAGAGATCCACTGATCCAGGTGGGTGTGGACCAGATGATATGGATCCGGTCATGTGGATCCAGATTGTGAGGACAGATCCAGCTCACCTCGGTTAGAATAGGTCTTCAGCAACCCACTCTTGCTGTAACAGGCGACCATGCTTGTCGTAAGAGGCGACAAACAGGATCGGGTGGTCAGACTCGCTAACTGGGTTGATGCATGTTATTGTATGCCAAATGTTTGGATCATTGCTCACAATATCGATCACAGGATTGTCTGGTCCAGACTCGATTATTTACAGACTTCGGTCATATACATGGAATATTACAGAGTACGTTGTTAAACAACAAGCAAACAAAAATGTGGATGTCCCAGGTTAAATTTCCCACATAGGTGCAATTTACTTGATGTATGTTCAGATTTAAATGACCCTAATCATATTGCCTGTTTTTCCGTCCAGTCCTTTAAATGTCTTTGTACGCCTTTTTGGGCTGACTGGCAGTATTTTAACTGTTTCATATTTTGTAACTAAATTTGGATTTGTACATGCCGTCCATTTTTAGCTCACCTGAGCATTTTCATGTGATCTTATGTCCATGTGTTGTTTTAGATGTATAAAATTGTTACTGTTTAGCACTTGTTTTTGAAATGTAGTGCATATTGTTATCATTGGCAAAGAGGGACAAGATGTATATTGTTGTTCATATTGATTGATGTTGACCAAATTTTTTAAAAGATTAGAAATAGTGAGTGAGTAGGGTTTTACGTCGTTTTTCGCAATTTCACGATGGAGGACACCAGAAATAGTAGATTGTGCAATCTTGGTTTGTCAAGTTCCCCACATTACTGGGAGTTCTGGAAGACATTGAGAGTTCTGGTATGTTCTAATGTTGGGGGGACAGGGGTGGCAGAGTTGCGTCCCTTGGACACGCCAGAAACCTATGATTCCAGGTTCGTTTCCCGGTTCGCCCAGATTATGTTTCTAGGTTTGTCAGCACCATACCCGTGCTCGTGGGCTTCACCGAAGTGGTAAATGTCTGAGACCTGCATCACTTCAGGCTTTCCTCCCACATTAAGCTGACAAGCCATGATATAACTGGAAAACTGATAAAAGCGGCGTTAAACCAATCTCACTCACTCACTCTAATGTTGGAACTCCCTGTGCGGAGTTGTGTCCCTTGACCTGGCCAGGATCCCAGCTTGCCCCAGTCACAATACTTGGTTTGTCACAAGATGCCTGTGGGTTTCACAAAAATGGTAAACATCTACTGTTTCTATCTTTCATGCTTTCCTCTCACATGATGCTGACAAGCCACAGTATAACTGAAATACTGTTCAAAGTGGCATTAAACACCAACTCATTCACAGATTTTAACATGGCATTTGACAAGTGTTTCTAAATTCCAGATTTATTCCATTTTGGGCAGACAAACTTGATTTCCAGTGGATGGAGTTTTTGGTCCCTTATGTAAAAAAGCAGGAGGTAAAACTAATCAAATACAAAATAATTTCTTTTATGAAATATATACGAATTTCAGGACGTTATTATGATAATGTTCACTATATGCACTTTTGGTACAGTGTCCTTTAAAAAGTCTTGAAGTGAAGTTAAAACCAAACCTATTAACTGAAAGGGCTCTGAAATAAGTGTACATCTATTCTAAAACAACAGTATGTTTTCTTACTATTTCGCAACTAAGATAGTCTCCACTGTATAAAACAGTGACAAACACTTGGTCCATCCACCCAAACAATATTCCCAGAAATAAACATTCAAAAGTAATAATTAAACAATTTATTCTTTGTCTTAATTTACCACATCATGAAGGAGAACAATAATTATCATACAAGAAATAAGCAAGCCATTGAACAAAGCCTGTTGAACAGCTGAAGACACTGATTCATAGGCAGTGTTCGAAATACCTGCCTGCCCGACCGTCCGAGACGGGTTGATTTCAACTTGGGCTGCCAGATTTTCAAATCCCCCTGCCCGACGGTCGGGTTATATTTCATATGTGAAAATATTCAAAATATTTCCTGATGATAAGCATTAATTAACATGTAAAGATGAATGATAAAATGTAACCAAAAAGAAACCCCTCTAGCTTATACTGAGAAACATATGATTATAGTGGGCAGGCAGGTTTTGGTCAGGGCTGGCAAGTATTTCAGCTAGCCAGTCCTGTGGTCTGGCTGAAATTTTTGGGAGTTTCATACCCTGTCATAGGATCAAACAATGCTTGCTGCTTCGCTTGCTGGATTATGTCAAACATGTGCATGCCAGTCCAGCTATTCTGTCTGGTGACAGCAGACTTGGCAAGTCTAATTGTTCTGACTATTTATGTTTGTCTCTGGCAAAATTCTTCAGGTCAAAACTGATATATACACAAAACTATGCATGAAAATATTCATTGAAATCCTTGCTTTTACTCTCTCATGATTCTGTAGATGACATAATGACAATTGACAGGGGTGCACATAATCACCTTCTTTTGAAGTTTGTTTCAGAATTAAAAACAGTCTCAGAAGGAAGAGAAATTGTATTTAATGTGATTCCTTATTGTAAAATTTAAGTAATTGTAAGTAATTTAGAAAATGTCTGCAATGGAAATACAGTCAAGTCTCTTCAATCAGACACCTGTTAATCTGACAATCGGCTTTATCTGACACAAATGATGGGAAACAATTAAATCAGAGCTATTTAGCCTGTTAATCCAACAGTCTCGCACTCTGACTCTGACACACTTACCGAAATCACTCATTAATCAGTCTCGTTTATCCGACACAATGATCAGCGTATTCTCTGGTCATCTGCCCGCGAGTACACAGCCCCATGATACGATGCCAGACAAGTCGGCTTGTGGCTGCAGTTTGCTTAACAATAAACAATTAATGCCTGAAATATACAAAACTGGTGACTTCCATTCCAGACTATTCTTTCAAAAGTATTTTGAATCAGTCAACAGTAGTTTTGTGTTAAGCTTTAGAGGTTGCAATATTAGAAAACATATTCAGCTAACAATGTAACAAAACAATATGAGTATTTAATTTTTTATTATGTGTTTGTATCGTTATCTGATGTGTAGTTGTCCTATTTTCGATCATGAATGTTGATACAACTTAATTTCGTTTATCCAACATACTTGTTAATCTGACATTATCATATGCGACCATCCATGTCAGATGCAAGGGACTTGACTGTACTATGACAGCGTTAGAAATTGGCACTAATCCCATAGTCCTTGCCAAACTGCCCAATGGTTAAGGTATCATAAGGACTAGTAGAAATTTGCCATTTTTAAGGGTTTTGCTATATATTATCATTATAAGGACTAGTGGACTAAATATGTTAGTTTCTATCCCTGCTATGATAATGAATTTTCATACACAAGTTAAACAGTCCTACACTTGTCACTGGCACAGAGGCTGAGATCACAGATGCAAACAAGCACATTAGAACACATAACAACATATCAGTAACTTGTCATTTTCAAATATGAAGTAGCAGATTTACATATGTGAAGGCAACACATAATCGACATGCTACTTCTTGGGTTCGTGAGTTCCCTTGACCGTCGTTCGGTGTAAGACTCGCAGTCCGACCTCTGACTTCGGGTGCTGTGTCTCCGGAGTGGCCTCGTGACCTACTGACAGGTTGTCCGAGACGATGAAGTCTCCAACCTCCCACTGGAGAAAACAACAGTGTAGGTTTGATATCTGGTGAGATAATCCAACATCATTACGTATGACATACACCCATGGCAGTGTTAGAAATTGGCACTAGTCCTACAGATCTTGCCAAACTGCCCAATAGTTAAGGTATCCTAAGGACTAGCAGAAATTTACCCTTTCTTAGGGTTTTGCTAAATTTTATCATTATAAGGACTGTTGGTTTCTATCGCTGCATGGAGATATAGATCGAGCGACTTAATGGATCGGGAGGTCGAGCGACAATGGATCGGGAGATCAAGCTTGGTGATTTGGTTGATGCACGTCATTGTTTCCTGATTGTGCAGATCGATGTCAATGATATCATAACTGGATTGTCTCACAGCTGGAAGTACGGTGTTAAAGGACAGACAAAGCAAACTAAAAAGAACTTAACTGGGTCCAGATTTGAGTGGGACAAATTACCTTGATAACAATTTATTAATCATAGATATCAGACAAATATGACTGAAAAAGACTTCCTAGTATTGACAACAAACAATGAAGCCATTCAAAAAGGTTTCACAAATCTTCAGAGAACTTGACAAATATCAGTGAAAGACTGTATCCAATTGTATGCTGGTTGTGATGGCTGGTTAAAATGGCTTGTGTAACACATCAATGGAAGTCTTGTACAGTATTATGAAGGTGAGCTTCTGTACCTGTTGTTCTGTAGCTTTCTCAAAACCAAAGTGCATAATCGTATTTCTGTTAAAAATACAGGCTCTAATATCAGTCATAGAGCTACACAGTATACATGCTACATGGATGACAGAGACATTCTGCTCTGTCTCTACTTTAGTGCCACCCAAGGCATTATGAAGAGGCTGGGGTTCATATTGTATCATATCATCAGATTTGTATCAGATTTTTAATTGTTGCTTCAAGATGTACAATCTATTTCCTGAAAAGAGGACCAAAATAACTTCTTTTCCAACACAATTTTTTCAGTACATCCAGCAATTTTTTCAGAAAAATTATATTTCCCCCGTATTTTCTGGAAGGTGTTTTTTAACCAAAACAGCACTAAGCCCGACTGTATCGCTCACTTCCTCATGTTGGGTAGATGATATGAGGATATCAGAACATAGTTCTATACTTGAGCATTTCCTGGTGAGAATAAACAAGGCACCCGTTATCCTCGAGCCCTACCTTATGCGAATACACAAGGCACCCGTTATCCTCGAGCCCTACCATATGCGAATACACAAGGCACCTGTTATCCTCAAGCCCTACCTTATGCGAATACACAAGGCACCCGTTATCCTCGAGCCCTACCTTATGCGAATACACAAGGCACCTGTTATCCTCAAGCCCTACCTTAAGCGAATACACAAGGCACCCGTTATCCTCAAGCCCTACCTTATGCGAATACACAAGGCACCTGTTATCCTCAAGCCCTACCTTATGCGAATACACAAGGCACCCGTTATCCTCAAGCCCTACCTTATGCGAATACACAAGGCACCTGTTATAATAGAACCCTACCTTATGAGAATACACAAGGCATCTGGTATAATAGAGCCCTACCTGGTGAGAATACACAAGGCATCTGTTATAATAGAACCCTACCTTGTGAGAATACACAAGGCATCTGTTATAACAGAGCCCTACCTGGTGAGAATACACAAGACACCTGTTATAATAGAACCCTACCTTATGAGAATACACAAGGCATCTGTTATAACAGAGCCCTACCTGGTGAGAATACACAAGACACCTGTTATAATAGAACCCTACCTGGTGAGAATACACAAGACACCTGTTATAACAGAGCCCTACCTGGTGAGAATACACAAGACACCTGTTATAATAGAACCCTACCTGGTGAGAATACACAAGACACCTGTTATAATAGAACCCTACCTTGTGAGAATACACAAGACATCTGTTGTCCTTGGTTATTTCTCGGTGTATTTCCTTGAGGATCTGCACTGTTTCATTCATGTCGGTTTCTCTCTCCTCGTCTGTTCCCATGTCCCACACAAAGGAATCGGTCATTCCCAGGTGGAAACACAGCGTCTGGAAATCAAGCAACACACTTGCAGAACACTGAATAACAGCAACATTTACACCTTGATTGCAGGGTGATGTGATAAATCTTTAAAGTTTGTGTCCTGTGATACATATCATTATCAACATTATTCAAGATAAGTGAGTTGACTTCAAGAAATACAAAGCACATTTATTAATGCTTTTAAGAGCCCAACATCAGTACTGAAATCACTTTAACCTTGTTACATCCCCAGAATCTGCTTAAGACATGTCTATAGATACACATGTATTAATCTAAAACCTTTGACAGCAAAAGAGACATAAAATGGTATTATTCAAATCAGAATATGGTTTTCAATATAGAAGACACTTCACACCCAGGAATAAATGGTTGGTAATAAATATAAAACTTCAGACCTTGGTAATAAATATAAAACTTCAGACCCTGAAAATATTCAGTTTTGACTATCTGCCGAAACCGATTCCATTGGGCGTAAAAGGCAAAACAGAGATGAAAAGGGTAAAGAAGAAAGAGCAAAAGAAATAACAGAAGTTTTACACAAAGACAACCGTACAGCATGTTCATTACATGACACATGCATATCTGGTTTTGAAGAGGGCAAGAGTTACACATGGCACTATCGGCAGCAATGATACTTGAAGATCAAAGATTGAAGTTGTGCGAAATTATATAACAATACTCAGAGATATATAATATGATATCAGAAAGACTATGCTATTTTTGCATGTCAGTTTTCATGGTACATCCAGAAATACTTATTCGACAAATAGGCAACAAATTTTCACCATTCTTCATAGTGGAATCAGCTTTTCCAGACTGTTGCTAGTTTCACAGGAATTGATACAGGATTCGAACTAAGTGCTCTTGGCAGGCAAACATGAGATTTTTACTATAAAAGTTTGTATGGTCTTAATTCAGAGCTATTTTACCATTTTATTCAATGCAATAATGTTAAACTAAGCATTAAAACCTTTTCCTATATAAGTAGCAAATTGTTTTTGATTAGCTTAGCTATTAGACATTAACGTGATATTTGGAAATAATATATATTTTGCAAATATGAAGCTAATTTAAACATGTGCAAACAAAACAGAAATAATTGTGAACACAAAATATTAAACCAACTGCACAAATTACAAAATTTTATTCAAATAACGTCTGAAACAAATCCAACAGCTAAAATCAGATCTGAAAAGTCTCTTTGATTTGTCCATTTGACCAGGACTGTAAACAAAGAAGTATGATTTGGCCTTGCCTGCTTCAGAGAAACCCACCAGCACTGAAAAGATGCTGACAGACCAAGGATAAAATCGGCAGATATTACATCCTGACTTGGCTAAGGGACACAACTCTGCATAATGAATTATGACAAATTTAGACCACTGTGCCAAGCTATTATGCAGAATTGCCTTGCCTGCTTCAGAGAAACCCACCAGGACTGAAAAGGTGCTGACAGACCAAGGATAAAATCAGCAGATATTATATCCTGATTTGGCTAAGGGACACAACTCTGCATAATGAATTATGACAAATTTAGACCACTGTGCCAACTGTGCCTACAACTGAGATGGTATTCCACTCACTACATTCCCTACTCATTCCCTCAACGCTTACTGCAGCTGGACTTACTGGATGCCTTGTAACAGGATGGGGATAAATGAGAGGATGGAAAAGACTTGACCGACGGTCGCTGACCATCCACAATCTCTCCCACCGCTGCCGCGTCTCCGAACTCAAACTCTCCACCAGCTCCTTCAGCGGCACAAAATCTAAATAGAATTTTAGAATGAATGAGTTTGGTTTAATTTCTACATGCTTTGAACATATTGATCAGTTTTCAGTTATATCACAGCATGTCAGCTTGATGTGGGAGGTAAGCCCAAAGCAATGATGCAGGTCTTTGATGACTGACGCTCTGTTATCATGGTTATAACCCATGAGCATGAGTATGGTGCCGACACACAAAATTTACATAATCATGGCAAACCACGTTCATAGGTTTCTGGTAGGCCAAAGCATGCCAAGGGATGGAATGAATGAATGTCTTTATTTCCTCCAGATAAATCCGAAGATTCTCAAAACATCAACATTATGTAATTAAATAACAAAATAATCAATCATATGTATATATATATCAATGTCCCGCAAATGTACAGGCTATAATTTATAAACAGTGTGAAGTATTGGTAAGATTACCGCACGTTGTTTAGGATATGTTTAATTTGATCTAAATACTTTCAGAATTCAATAATAGTGAAATGTCACGTTATTTCATCAATGTCATTGTTATCTGCACCAAGAAAGAATGTTAACATATCATGGTCTTCCATCATCTCTATTTTATCATACATTTCAACATCAAGATTATCAATTAGAGTGGAAAAGAATATATCTCTCTCTGGAATTAGACATTCACGGTTTAAGATGAGATGATGATAATTATCATTAGCAAAAGTATTACATTTTGTACATTCCTTAGATATTTTGCTTCTGGATCCAATCCTTATTACATACTGTATTTCTTCTCTCAATTCAGGATATAACATTAACAAGAACCTTGCCTGTCAACTAGGGCTGGGACGAGTCCAAATTTACTCCCCTATTACCCCACCCTACCCGAGTACCCACTGTAGGTCTCAGGAGATGTCTCAAAATGTCCGATTGGGAACATTTTTAGAATAGCCCTGGCAAAACGTATTTAGATACATGAATTAAACAATCTGGTCATTCATACACTGAAGTTGAATTAAGTTATATCTTTATTCAACCATATGAGTGAGTGAGTGAGTGAGTGAGTTGGGTTTAACGCCTCTTTTAACAGTATTCCAGTTATATCACGGCGTGTCAGCTTAATGTGGGAGGAAAGCCCTTAGTGATGCAGGTCTCAGACGTTTACCACTTCGGTGAAACCCACGAGCACGGGTATGGTGCTGACAAACCTAGTAACATAATCGGGGCAAACCGGGATTCAAACCAACAATCATAGGTTTCTGGCGTGCCCAAGGGACACAACTCTGCACAGCGAATCGCGGCGCCTTAGACGACTGAGCCACCCGTGCCCCATTCAACCATATGAAGAATCAACAGGAATTAGTGACTTGTAGTGTAACCATAGAGTTTAAGATAATTTTTGTCATTAAACAATATATCACATGACTAAACAGCACAGTTCCGGGTTGTCCTGTGGGTACCTGGGTCCTACTCAGTTCCCACCCGACCCGGGTACCTGAGTTACCCGTCCCAGCCCTACTGTCAACATATTGATCATAACTCATCATTTGTTCATCATCTCCTCACATGCACATGTATACAACAGCTGATGATCAATGGATGAGGTCATGCATAGGGTAAAATTGACTGACATGTCACTTGAACAAATAGAGAGAAATTCTAGCTCTTCCTCCTGTGCTCTAGGACTAAAATCACCGCCCCAATTTACCTGTATTACCCATCTTGGGCACAGCAACCATGTGATAGATGGAAAACGAGAAGGGTGCCCTCATAAAACTCCCATCTATGTGCCAGCCCGTCCGTCCCACGTTCCGACATCCCTCTCGTTCATCATTCGACACCCGAAACACGTCAGGATGGGTTGATCGCTGGTGTTTGTAGAATGTTGATTCCAACTCCCCAAACCATCGACTTATTTCTACGTGACGTTCACCTGACACAACACCCTGGTCTTTGAAAATTAGAAGCCGATGTTTATGAACGTCCTCTTTAAACTTCTTAATTAAGTCTTCTGAAACCGGTTCATTCAAATTGATTCCTCTTATTTCGACTCCAATGGCAGCTTCTTTGACATCGTAAGCCATTTGGGAATTACTAGAATCTGAAGAGAATCTGTTGAGTTGCTGACTGGTTGGTATTGACTTTGAACATGTGGGATTTTCAAGAATTTGTCGTATGTCGTTTTCATTGATACAATGCAAGCTTGAGTGTGTCAGTCGTGTAATTCCACCCTTCGTCAAACTGGAGATTATCTGAAAATAGATTAAGTAATGTTTGTGGTGAAATAGACGCAAACCCGGTAAACAGAAATTCATCAATTTTGATACTTTCTCCTGACAGCAGCTGAGGGAATATTATCTAGAGTGATCTCCCTTTGAATGACTTCGGTATGTTCCGTAGAGCACCCGAGTTTCACCGATCATGGTATGGCCATCACAGTTGCGTTTCTACAGATATTTGAAAACAAATTCGTTGGAAAAAGAATCTCTAAATTTCTGTCTAATTAATTTTATGAATCCTATCATCCTCATTTATTACGATCAGAGCACTGATTTAATTAATAATCTAGACCGAACAATGAAGAGAAACGATAGCTGGGTGAAAATCTCAACACCGTAACAATTTCCCACTTGACCTGTACATCAGTAGTTTGTTTGCAGAAATGTATTTTAAAATATTTGATTTCCTTTTCAAGACTATTCACAAGTAGATTACCTTTCTTCAAATGTAAAATGCTAAAAAAATGTACTTTCAAGTTAATATTTGTTTGTTTATAAGCAAATATTTTCTGGATTTACTAAAAACATGGCTGTCCCTCAGCTGGACCAGAATAAAAAATAATACCTAATCTATATCTAAATATTCTAAAAATGTAACAAATTTTGTTTTTCACACTCTCAAATGAACATTAATTACATGTATCCTATCATTATTATCTAAAACCTAATTGAAAAAAAAATAAATAAGAAAAAAAAGATGTCCCTCAAAAGGCACTCAACTCCGTCACAACGTACCAATACTAAAAAAATAACTGTGCTATGGGAGATAACTCTCATACGCTTCCTCTTTTGGCAACATGTGTATGAAGTTCATCTGCTGGTGATAGATAGATGCCACATTTATGTACAATGTTCAAGCCAATGACATCAAGATATGTCTGTTAAGTACAGTATGTTTTCTGAGCCTGAACTCTGTTACACTGTCTATAGATCTATATCTCATTCTAATTTCCTTCACTTTTCCAAGAGAAATTGGTTAGCAAGACCATGTTAGCAGTGAGTATTTTAATTTCCATAAAAAGCAAAGCATGCTGGGATATGAGCCATTTATAGTAAGGTTTCTCAACTCCATTACACTCAACTCTGTAATGCTGTACAGCGTAACGGAGAGGAAAAATTTGTGCATCTGCACAATTTCGATAGTTATTGTCAGTACATAGCTTTGTTCTTCACGAATATTTTATTTTATTTTAACCCTATACCTGACAAATAATTTTCCCACAGTCTGGAGTAAGAACTTTATTTTTAAATAGTCACTCAGACTGCTCTGATGTTTTGGATGAACAAGATGTTAGGACCTGTGCAAAATGTGGATTTGATTCTATTGATAGCGCTCTTTCCGACAGTGGACTAATTATTGAAGACAGAACTGGTGTCTTTTACATTGATGGGAGTGCCTGGCTATTGTGTTTTGGCTGCAGAAAGCAATTTCATTATGCATGTATAAACAACATATTTTCTGACAGTGTTGATGATATGATTGATCTGAAATTTGATCTTGAAGTTTTATAATATATTATAGTGATCTAAAATGGCATTTTAAGCAACTTTGTCCTTATTTATTTCAACGTCTATACAAAGGGTTGAACATTAGTAATTTAGTAGACCCACTTTTGTATGCCATTACTGCAGTAACTGGCTCATAAACCATGTGTACCAAAGTCCTGACAAGTAACACAACACAGTGCATGTATTTTCACATTTCATCTCAAAAGGGATGAAAAGGTTGTTATTTTATGCTAGAGAGCAATAACAAAATATATGAGTTACAACTCCGTTACAACAAACTCAACTCTGTTACGTCAGGATTTTTTTAATAGATGACTTCTTTTGACAACTGACGAAAAACGTTGTTGTTTTTATGAGTTTTAACTTTAGATTAGGACTAATGATAATATATGTTGTGACAAAAGATGAAAAATACTATATTTTGGATACCGTCTTTCATGTAAATGACTTTGTTGTCTAGGCAAACTTTTGAAATATGGAGCGAGCACTTACAAATGTCCAATCATACATTTTATTTAGCCAGTTTGCATTTGTTTAACACTGAATTGTATTCACACTTAATGTTAATTGCTGAATACGATTTTATATTTCAAAGCAACCTAGCGCTATTAAAATTACTTTCCATTTTGTGATCCGTAACGGAGTTGAATGTCCTAGCAGATTAGGCTAATTCATTAATTATTTTCTAATTAATTAAACACATCACTGCACTGCATTGAAATAGAAAGTACTTCTCAAGTATCATATTCTCTAATATCAAGAGAAAAATTATATTAGGGACACTTTTATTTTTGCAAGTTGATATCAGAAAATTTGTCGGTTTTGAGATTTTTACCCAGCTACGCTTCCTGCACCTTGACTGCCTATAATGTCTGCATTTAACAAAATCATTCAATCTGTTTAGTTAAACAGTCAAGTAGACATAACACATCTTGCCTAGCTAACTATATTCCACATCTGCACTTAATATATTCAAGTCAACTCTAGGTGTATTGGAATCTATTTACATCGATCGCCTGGTTGTTTAACATTTACCGGATCAGATAGAGTACTTTATAGAACAAAACAATGTTTATTTGTTTGTTTGTTTGTTGTTTAACGCCGCACTCAGCATTTAGTAATATTCCAGCAACATCACGACAGGCGCGCCAGAAATGGGCTTCACACATTGTACCCATGTGGGGAATAGAACGTGGGTCTTTGGGGTGATGAGCGATAATTAGGCTAGCCCACCGCTCGATGGGTTTGATGATGGGTTTGGGTCACTAGGACATGTACTATGTTTGTTTGTTTGTTTGTTGTTTAACGCCGCACTCAGCAATATTCCAGCTATATGACGGCGGTCTGTAAATAATCGAGTCTAGACCAGACAATCAAGTGATTAACATCATGAGCATCGATCCACGCAATTGGGTTACGATGACATGCATCAACCAACTCAGCGAGCCTGACCACGACAAGCATGGTTGCCTCTTACGACAAGCATAGTCGCCTTGTACGGGGACCTATTCTACCCCGGATCTTCACGGGTAGAACCAGACTAATGTAGATCTAGGCTCTGTCTTAAGGAAAAGTGAAATTCGCAATGCCTGTAAGGGATACATGAGGTTTCCGATCACAGTGGGCGGTGAGTGAGCATTCTTTTACGCCGCTTGTAGCACTATTCCAGTCATGTCAGCTGGGGCGGTAAAAACGCAAAATGTGCTGCATGAAGACGCGGACCCTCGCTGTAACCTCCAGTTGAGAGTTTGTGCCATATAGATATGGTACTGCTTTTCGAAGATTGTTGGAACCGGATTTACACAAATTGTACACTTTCCCAAACGCTTACACATACGGACGCCTATTTTCGGATAACCTGCCTCTTCTTATGCAGGTTTATATTTACTACCCTGAAACCTGGGTTGTCCGGAAACCCCGCTCTCCGGATGATTGATCATGAGTGAGTGAGTGGGGGTTTCGCCGCTTTTAGCAATATTCCAGCAATATCACGGCGGGGGACACCAGAAATGGGCTTCAGACGTTGTACCGTTCGGAATCGGACCCTGGCCTTCGGCGGGACGAGCGAACGCTTTGATCACTTGGCTTCCGAACCGACCCTCCGGAAGATTGCTGCCAGGACGTCCACTATGTTATCATGACTTGTAATCCGGACGATTGTGATTTTCGGGATTTCTCTGCATGTGAAATCACATTTTAATATTTATTTTCTTCGCAAAGACATTTAAGACTACTGTTATTTTACAACAAAACTCACGCGTACCTCGTTTTTCTTAACATATCTCATTTATCCGTTGTATATCTTTCAGGGACTTTTAAGATAATTGCAGACAGTAGTGCAGATGACAGTCGTATACAACAGGCACCAGAGACAAGCATTTCGGTACGGCGACAGTCTGTCTGAGGATATAACTGACTGTTTAACCCGTGAAGATCCGGGTTAGAATAGATCTTCAGCAACTAATGCATGCCGTTAAAGGCGAGAATGTTTGTCGTAAGGGGCGATTAACAGGATCGGGTGGTCAGGCTCCCTGACTTGGTTAATGCATGTCATCGTATCCCAATTTGCAAGGATCGATGCCCATGATGTCAATCACTGGATTGTCTCGCCTAGACTCGATTATTTACAGACCGCCGCCATATAGCTTGAATATTGCCGAGTGCGGCATTAAACAACAAACAAATAAGTATTGTGGCAATTTGCACGGGATCTTATGACGATAGAATAGCAAGTAGGAGTGAGCAGGTGGCAGTTTATCTTCACAAGAGCCTCGGGCACAGCTGCAGTGTCTGATCCCCACGTGACATGTGACAGGCGAGTTTCACGTGCTGCACGAGCAGACATCTGTAATGCCCATTAGAATCATCGGCCATTGGAGATGACAGCTGTGTTCTTGTGAAATCTCCTCGGAGAATGACACGTTAGTGCTAACATGGAGTGCCAGTGTGAAGCAAAGAACCACTGACCACGTCTCTGGCTAATTGCACGAAGGATACATGGATTAGATAACTTGAATATCAAGCAAGAGCAATCTGTGCATTTCATCGAAGCACGTCTGGTAAAGGGCTCCCAATTTAATGAAATGGTTATCGAATGTGTTCCGTATTCCCTGGCCACACAAAATGTGCTCCTTTGACGACTGCTGCCTGGTCCAGGGCTCTCTGTGGACAGAGCAGGCTGGCCGTCTTGTTCAGTGAACAGCACCAGTGGACATAATTGCCATCTCGTCTGCAGCAGGGCCGACAGACTCGAGCTCGTGTAACTGCAACACGAGATGTAGAGAGTTTTTATGTTCCCAGGTGAACCTTGCCACGCGCTTTGAATGATAATAACTTCATATTTCAACAACAAACTGCGCCCACCCAACTGGAACGACCGCGGGGCTCCCGATGAGGGGTTTAGCTTGTACTCGTTGTTTATACTGTACGAGAAATGGTTGTTGCAGCGAGCTGTTTTCCTTGCTGACATGATGGGGTGGCCTTGTGGTCAAGTGCTTTCTTGTCATGCCGAGGACACGGTTTGAATTTCCAAAGCGATTAAAATGGAGCTGGAATATTGCTAAAAGGGCTGAAAATAGTCATTCAAATGGTGATATTTATTTTATGGGCGTCTTCATTGAGACAAGATCTGATCAAATGTGTAATCTGTTTGTTGCACTAAGAAGGTGCTTACGTTGAAGCAAGGTTTTTGGTATGATCTACAGGCGTAGGTCAAACCCCTGAATACCCCTGAACGACTTTCAAATTGTCAACCCAAACATTGAACAGTACGTGTCGCTGTCCCCTGTTATCGTGTATGGTTTGTCAATAAATTGGTTATGTTAAAACATTGATCGGACGAATGACCAAATATTGTGTGGTTTTCAATAACTTCACATTTCCACCACTTTACATGAAGCAGTTACTTTTTTCCGCTTTATATATAGTACATGAAACATTTGTTTGTGATTGATTAATGGTTTCATTATCGAACGAGTTTAATTAATGAGCACTCACAGGACCAAATGCTTGTATATATTTATTCCAACGTTGTGACGTCTTCCTGGTGTTATATTGCCAGCGCACCGCTTCCTCGCGCACTGATGTTGGAAGCGTTGAAGTTTACGTACTGGCACAGTGTTTGTGGTATTTTATGAACTGATTTACTATGGATCGCATTTCACGCACTGGTTTAGCGCCAATCGCGCTGGTTTAGCGTCAATCGCGCTGGCATAACGTGAATCGCACTTTAGGCACTGATGCGGTGTGAACCGATATTGCGTGGAACGCACTTTAGGCACTTGTTAAGTGTGTCGTTAAACAACAAGCAAATAAATATACCCAATTTGATGTCGTCTCACGTCGCATTTCACGGACTGTTTAGTATTCCGATTAACATTATGCCTGTTCAAAAAACACTCTCACTTACTATATGTTTCGTTGCAGCGCACAGAACACTTATGCACAGTGAATGCTGCGCTATAGATAGAGTATAGTGGTTTTGTTTGTTCGTTTGTTGTTTAACGCCGCGCTCAGCAATATTCCAGCTATATGAATGCGGTAACTAAGTAATTGAGTGTGGACCAGACACTCCAGTGATTTACATCATTAGCATCGATCCACGCAAATGGGATACGATGACATTCATCAACCAAGTCAGGGAGCTAAGCATAGTCGCCTTTTAAGGCAAGCATGGGTTGCTGAAGACTTACTCCACCCCGGATCTACAAGGGTCTCGTATTGTGGTTCTGACATTACTCACAGACACAATATAAATAATTGATTATGATTAATAAAGTCATGTGTTCGGAATAGTTAAAGGTTAAATTACCACAGAATATTTAATGATTTATGGAAACGGGTTTACTTAAGATTATCACATCACTTGATATTCTCCAAATGATTTCAGTCAAGTATCCATCACAACCCTTGAAGGTAGAACGCCACTAACCCGTCAATGCATAAGGAGGCCACCAGAGACCCCCCTGAAGGGAGCCTCGCGTTACTCACACCTGCTAAGGTGAGTGCAAGGGAGGTAATCCTTCATGGACGGGTGGGTTCAGGGTGGTGAAATCAGTGACGAGACAGGAATGTAGACTCGCAAAACAAGGAAAACTCTGATATCCACTGTGAAGCGCTGGCAGTGGCCTAGAGAGACGTAACAGCTTTGCCGCCTACCCACGACCTGTTACGTACGGCCAGACATGTTCGAAGCAGGATAGAAATGACAGGCGACCAGGAGACGAGGTTTTCCTCAGTCAACAGCCAGTGTGGAGGATGGTGGCTACAGAACGGGGTCATGATCGGGTGGTAAAGTTAAAGACTTTGAGTTGAATATGGGCCTGTCTCGCAAGCTTGGAGGGTCCTCGAAACCCGAGCCGCTGAGTGATGTGGAGTATCAATGGAGTACCCAGAGTTACACCCTGAAGGAGATTCTGGGCAAGTTCAAGGTACCCAGGGTGGTCCAGTGCGCGTCTCCGTGTTCGGTACAGTTGTCGGAGTTTCAGTTCGACCTGCAGCAACCATTACTTATCTACAGCAAGCGGTATGTACGGAAAGCCTACGCCAGGAATCTCAAGTATGAGAAGGCGTCCCAGGAAATGATGGCGTCTGGCCCCCCTGTCATCATTCCACAGGATTACGATGGTAAGTAGTGAAAAATACGGGGCGCAGATCACTGAATTCAACAGCCACGTGAGTTACATCTCCTTATTGAGCAGGGAGAAAAGTAGGAAAACTTTCACAGGCTTGTATGTTAATAGACTACAACAATAAATTAAAAAACAGTTAGGAATCTTGATTATTTTGGGGGATATTATTTTCTTGTGAAGACTAAGCACACAGTGTCATAACTATCCCCATAAATGCAAATGATTCCTAACCGTTTTGTTCAAATACGGTAGGTCTAGGGTTATTGCATGACGAGCTTACAGCTTGATAAATATAAGAAATTAACAATAATATAGATTTTGTGTGGGGTGAGTTAAATTTAGAGTGTTTCAAATGGTACCTTTAAGAACGAACTTTAAAAGATACAAACATTTTGATAAGATTAAAGTTATTATCTCGTCATGCTAAGTTGGAAAACGGTCGGTCAGAATTTAGTGGGGTGGGGCATTGTGTGAATATGGGGATTGGATGTCTCTACAAAGAGCGGTCATAGCTCAACGATAACCCGATCGTAACTGAACAGATCCTCATTGAAGTAGTGTTGTTGTCGGGCTCTGTACAAACACCCAGAGCATGTAAATCAGCGACAGCTGTCGCCTCCAGCGTGATAACAGGAGACAGTCATTGTGGGCAGAGAGTAGCACCTAGCTCTCCACAATGGGGGCAGACCGACAGGAGAAAGTCGCATTTTGTTCCCCGAGCTGCTTTTACATTGTTATAGATACGACACAAGGGCGTTATACACATACGGCCGGGGCAAGTATAGAAGTCATGCTGCTGTAGAGGGGTTTCATCAACAATATGCCTGTATTGGGCGTTTTGATTGTCTTTGTATTATTTGATGTTAAAGAAGAAACGAATCTCTGTAACTACAATCAAATCAGAAGGACTTGAATACTTTATTTATCCAGAATACAAATGTAAAATGAGTAGAAGCGACCAGAGGGATCAGGCTCGCTGATGCATGTCGTCGTATCCCAATTGCGAAGATTGATGCTCATGATGTCAGTCACTGGATTGTCTGGTGTAGACTCCATTATTTACAGACCGACGTCATATACAGAATATTACTGAGTGCGGCGGTAAGCCACACACGAACAGTAACATGCGTCAGTTTGCTTGGTCTATAGAGGTTTGGCAGAAACAACAGTACTCGAAATCGATTTTATGATGTAAAATTGTCTTTTATGGTTCTTAAGTTGTGTTTATTATTTGCTTACACAATCAAGAAACTACACGATTCCGCATCGCAAAGTTGGGTATTATTGATTAAGCAGTCGTAAAACAATTGGGAACGTTTCTATATTTTCCTATCCATAAAAAATAGACGAACCCAAATCTGTTCACCTGATATTTGTTATGTTGACGCAGCGCAAACAACAAACCTACTGAGGCTCATTGTTTGTAGGGCAGTGCACGAGAAAGCCCAGTTTAATGACCCAGTGAATCGAAGGTGATGTGTCAAGCGCAAGAACTCAGTCAAGTATGGCCGAGCTGTTGAAAGGAATCAAATCTATTATAACCTACAGTCACCTCGTGACACGACTTAATTGTAGGGAGGGGCTTGAATGAGATTAAATTTTGTGATTTAAATTGTCCATTTTCTGCCATGGAATGTAATAACTTCTGCAGTTTCTGATACGGAACGGCTGCTCTGCCACGACCCTGGTATTAAGTACTTCGTGTACTTAGTGAACGTGTTGACGAAGCATTTCAATGTCGGATAAAAATTTAGATATTTTAAGTATTAGGGTAGCGGGTTTCAAAGGTCTGCAAGTTTTCCATCCGACAAATTTCTGCAATGACACATAACTGAAGTCTTTGGGGGGGAATTAGGTCTTTAACTCGCTATCACGAACACTTAAAGCTCGATAAATAGCTTAAGACCATGATAAGGAAGATTTTAATTGATTCTGTGGCTTAATATCGGTATTCTGTTTGTTATGGTATCCAACATGGGTACAATGTGTGAAACCCATTTCTGGAGTCCCCCGTCGTGATATTGTTGGAATATTACTAAAAGCGGCGTAAAACCACATTCACTCACATCGGTTGCCTAGTTAAAGTTTTGAAGATTTAACTATCGTTCTTTGTTTCCATGGGGCAGATGGGTAGCCTAGTGGTTAAAGCGTTTGCTCGTCACGCCGAAAACCCGGGTTCGAATCCCCACATTGGTACAATGTGTCCCCCGCTCGTGATATTGCGGGAATATTGCTGAAAGCGGCGTAAAACTATACTTACTCAATCACCCACTCTCTATTTCCATGGAAATGCAGAACGCGTTATTTGTATGCATGACGTTTATTATACTGTAGTTGTATGTTTTATTTATTTTGTATTCCTTTTGTGGCCCATTTCTGTATTTCCATAACAAAATCGCTGCTGAATAATATTAATCCAAGCATGCGATCGAGATTACTAATCACATTTTGACCTCCAGACTCACCTGGGGCGGTCGGGTAGCCAAGTGGTTAAGGCGTTCGCTCGTCACGCCGAAGATCCGGGTTCGAATCCCGACATGGGTACAATGTGTGAAGCCCATTTCTGGTGTCCCCCGCCGGAATATTGCTGGAATATTGCTAAAAGCGGCGTAAAACCATACTCACTCACTCACTCCAGACTCACCTTGCTGTCAGACTGCCTTGACATTGCTAGACTATTGATAAAAGCTCTCGTTCGTCACACCGAATACACAGGTGTGTTTCCCATACGGGTAACGCCTATCTTGCCGGTCTGAGGTAACGACTCACTGCAGATCCAAACTGTCGAACATATTGGCAAGTCTTTAGAAGAAACGCCGTGATATGGGCGGGAAACTATCAAACTATCAAAACTGACAATTTATCCAAATTATCCAAAGAAGTCGTTCTGCCATAATCAGTTATCCATTATCAGTGATCACCATTACTGTTACGATAAATATCCTGGACCCATTTGTGTGACGTCGTTATAGCCATTATCTTCTGTCATTAACTTCCCATAGAAACGATACTCGCCCATGTGCATAATTTGATTGGACAGCTATTTTTTAGTGTACTGTTATTGAATCGACTCAAAATGAGGCTATAATATTAAATGGGTCCATGGGATTTATTTTATACGGACCGCCTCCGTGGTCTAGTGGTAGAGCGGAAGGTCCGGGGTTTGATCCCCGACCGCGTCATACCAAAAGACGTTAAAAGATGGTTCTTGTTGTTACCCTGTCTGGCGATCGGCATTAAGGGGCTAAAACAAGGACTGGTCGGCTCGGAGTCAGTATACTGTGTCTGAGTGGGGTATTCATGTTAAACTGCGGCATGGTATCTCAGTGAGCCAGCACTATAAATCGGCATCAGTCCGGATTAGTACAAGCAGCCACACACACACACACACACACACACACGTGCATGCACGTCGCTATATAAGTGCAATAATCTTGGACGCGACGTTAAACCCCATTTCACCTCACCCATTTTATACGAATGGAAGACGCTAGATAATCGAGACGTTTAATGATATCGTTTTTCTAAGTGGAGAAATGCACCATTATGCACTTTGTTGTGTTGTTTGTTGTTTTACGCCGCACTCAGAAATATTCCAGCTATATAATCGAGTATGGACCAGACAATCCAGTGATTGATGTCATGAGCATCGATCTAGGCAACTAGGATACGATGACATGCATTAACCAAGTTAGCGAGCCTGACCACCCGATCCCGTTAGTCGCCTCTTACAACAAGCATGGTCGCCTTGTACAGCAAGCATGGGTTGCTGAAGACCTATTCTAACCCGGATCTTCACTGGTTAATGCAATCGGTCCCTTCACTGCTTGACAGGCGCGCAACATGATCCGGTTGGATTTCCCCGAATGTTGATTGGGTTGTAGATTTGTTTGTGTATTCTGTGCTAATGGCTGGAACAGAACAAGCTCTATATCTGCGTCATTTCTGGAGTGCCATTATCTTCTCAAATTTCTCCTTAAGGCTGCCGTTAACGTAGACGTCTACAAATCTCGTGAATTGGAATTATCCATCGTGCATTGCATAGATTTAACTTTTGTGTTGCCCACGATGAAAAGAAACACACAGGAATGTTGTGTATGAAACTAATGTGTCTGCTTGGAAAGGTAAGGGTTCCTGAAGTCTGACATGAACAATTGTCAGCGACATGCATTGGTAGCTCTCTCTCCGTGAGGAAAACTGAAGGAATGCACTACGCCCACGAATGTTGTTGCGTTCTTGTCGGGCATTAACTCGGTGTAACAACAGATGGATTGGCTACCAACCACTCTGGGGCGGTGGGGTAGGCCAGAGGTTAAAGAGTTCGCTCGTCAAGCCGAAGACCCGGGTTCGATTCCCCTCATGGGTACAATGTGTAAAGCTCATTTCTGGTGTTCCCCGCTGTGATATTGCCGGAATATTGGCAATAGCGGCATAAAAACATGTACACTTTATACTCCACTGATGATCATTATGATACTGTTATCCCTACAAGGAAACACCCAGGTTTTATCGAAAAAAATAAATGACATTGTTGCAAGGTATAATTCTTTACGAAAAAATTCAAGCTCATATCTTTAAATAAAAAACATGTTGGTTTTGTAGCTGTAGCTGAAATTATCTAATAGCGACACACGCACGCACGCACGCACGCACGCACGCACGCACACACACACACACACTCTCACTCACACACACACTCACTCACTCACACACACACACACACACACACACACACACACACACACACACACACACACCACACACACACACACACACACACACACACACACACACACCACCACCACCACCCTCCCCAAATGGTTTGTCCCTAAGACGACCATATTTCCACAATCATTAACTATTAACTTGAGATTTCTAACATTGCTTTGCTTTGTGAATCGGGTCCCCGGATCGAGACAATAGATTATAGATTTTAGGCATACTTTCGAATTCCATCTACATGCACTCACGATCTTATTTATTCGTCATTCAATT